TCATCCAGGTGGGGCTGCACATTGGTGGTGGTGGGGGGGTGTCCCCATTAACTGTAAAGCGCTTTGAGTGGAGTGTCCAGAAAAAGCGGTATATAAGTGTAAGCAATTATTAATTATTTTTATTAAAGCAAATTTAGTTACCTCTGTCTTTTTTGCTGTTTACACAAGGACATAAGAAAGGTTTCAATCGATTGGAAGCTTTTTGACCCATCCAGCCTGTTTGGTAGTTTGTAGCTAATTGATCCCAGGATCTTGTCCAGCCAATTCTTGAAAGAGGCTTGAGATATTAGCTTCAATTACATGGCATCACTTGTTTCATGCTCCCACGATGCTCTTTGTATAGAAGGGCATCATGTTTGTGACTTTGAATGCACTCCACCTAGTATTTCCTAATATCGGTCTATATATTTCTCGGTATGATATTTGTTGCTTAGAGGATACTGTGTTCTTTAGTAAGTGGTGGTCCAGTATACCTCTCTTAGGGCACTGTTGGCATGCATTTTACTCAGGCACCAGAGTGAGAACTGTTTATCTATTTTTTGTCAGAACAGAATGGTTTTCCAATTAAAGTTATTAAAATATATCTATAAAAACTGAAAATGATCACAAAGAAATGCTAAAGATTGGAAAGGCAACTTAAATAAGCTATATGTGTAAGTGTGGTTTCTCTTTCTGATTCTGGTTGTCCCCTCCTCCTGCAGGGCTCTACCTGTCCCGACTTGCCTCTAGTCACCTGCCTGCAGGTACAATATTACATAGAGAATGGAAGACTCTTAAGGTAATGTTTCTGAACAAGAATGTTTATAGGATTTAATATGTTTCTTATACTCATTAGCAGGAAACAATCATACTTCTGAAGTCTATTTTGGAGATTAGAGGGTGTGAATTATATACCCTAGTAAAACTATATACCACATGAAATCAGTTTTTAATACTCTTTTGCATGCTTATAGATTTTGTGAGTTTGTACTTAAGAAAATAAACATATTCCATTGTGTTCTGCAGGTGTTATAAGAATGTGTACATAAGTTGGCAAGTTGTTCTGTGATAGGTGTATTTAATAGACAATTCATAGTTAATCTTTGACTCGTGCACAAAAAGACAAAGTTGTATGGTGACATCATTGGGAGCCACAGAAATAGAAATATTTTGTCAACATTTTATTTCCTAAATAATATTTATAACATAAAATATATAATGTATAAAACAATAAATATTCCTAAATAAAATTAGGAGATAAACTATAGAAATCTTGGCGAGCAGCATTCGAATTAAATCAGCAGTCTGAAATACAATATGTATTGGTGTTGATACTAAGATTGCTCTCAGGTGGACTCACTGATCAGTGTACGTTATGTTCTGACAAATCTGTGTTTCATTGCAATATATTAAGTCAATATGATGTGTTGCTAGGCCCCTTTCTTTTTCCTGGCAGTGACAGGAAGGCCAGACACCTATACTACTGTGATCTACGAGATCGAGTGCTGAGATCGGAGTGTAGACACAAAGAGGAGGTATATTTCCTGTTAGCAGCGTATGCTCTGCAGGCTGATCTAGGGGACTACCAAACCGAGGGGCATGTGGGAGAGTACTTCAAGCCACAGGACTACTTCCCTTCATGGGTAGGTGCCTCACTAAATGCGCAATACCGGTTATTTTTGTTTGGGCATTCGAAAAATTGGTTTACAGTTGCGGTATTTTTCAATCCCAGCTTCCCTGCCTGCTATGAAATATGGGGTAGACATGTATTTACAGAGCACACTTTGCAGAGCACTCCAATTAGGGTGGAACTGTAAAGTACACAATCCAGTAACACCCTAAAATCATCTGTCATACAAACAAGTCAAGCCATTTGATGTGTGTTATGTCTTTGGAGCAGTGATCCATGAAATCATTTCACTTTGAAATTAAATCATTATAAGTTCTGTCCTGAGTCTTGGGCAGGCCTATTCTCAGAGATGTCAGTTTCTAGTTAGCCTAGACAGAGTTTGCAGTAGGATGGAGAGGGTTCCTAGAGAGCCTAAGCACAGATAGTGCTGCTCAGTGCCTGTTCCCCAGCCTATGGGATTTTGTCCCGAGGGGAAAGATAATTAACAGTGTTTTCCAAATCCCAGATCATTGCCAGAAGAGGCTGTGACTACATCCTGAAGCATGCGCCCAAGATCCACAGGGAGCAGAAGGGGCTGTTGACCAAGGAGGCCATTCTTCTGTTTGTCAGGGAGTCCTGCCTGCTGGAGGACGTGCCTGTGCACTTCTACAGGCTGCGTAAGGTAAGGGCAGGCACTTCACATCTGCCAAAAGCTGCACAATCAATTCTTAAAATCAGTCTCAGAGATAAGAAATGCAGTGGGTTTCAGCTGAGCTAGCATACGTACTGCAATTAAGAAAGAAAGCATTTCTTCCCTTAGTCAGAAATTTCAGTGTTAATACAAAACCAAAATTAAAAGTGACTCATTTAAACATGCAGTGCCCAACCTCTTTTAAGTGTTTGGATTATGTTTGCTCAGGTATGCTGAGCATCCCAGCAATTGTGGGTGTTTCTTCTTACATAGGTGATTACATTTCTGAACTTGCAGAGAGGAGGTGTGGCAATACAGTGTTTCAGCACACAGTAGGTATTCAGAAATATGTACGTCTCGAGCTTAAAGGCATGTGACATACAGCAGAGCACTTGAGCTCAGGGGTGTCAAACTTGTTTACTATGGTGGGCCAGATTTGAATGAAATGTACTTAAAGTTGGCCATACATACCAAAAATTAGGGTTCTCAAGGCCCCCTATGACTGCACTTTGACCAAGGGCCCCCATCTCACTGAAACATATCGTACTTTTATCCACCCTCTTCAACTTGCTGCAATGAGCTGTTTTAAGATGCTTATGCAGGTCATTAATGGAATATTATTGTTAAAGGTGCACAGTAAAAAATAACCCTAACTGCAGTGCAGTGCAGAATTCATAATACAGATCTAATTGGCCCCTTGCAGTGGCATGGATGGGACTGGTGGTTGCTGCAATATGTGATTTTGTTCATGTTAGTGCTGATTTCATATCATTCTCCATGTGTATTTATGCTCTGTCTTTGAAGACTTTTAAAGTGGAAAAATCTGCTTCACACAAATGAGAGGTTCCAAAGGGTAGAAGACCTTAAAGAGCTTTCTCACTCTGTGGGTACTCCTCACTCACTTAGATCCAGAACACCGATAGAGAAAACAGTGAAAGAAATCTGGAAATAAAATTTGGACATTTTCAGTATTTTCGTCTTCTGGCCGTGGGCCAAGAATTGCCTCAGTTAGTGATGAGATTTCAGATTTCTGACCCAGTTTAAGTGAGTTTTGTCAAGCTTGGGGAAGAACTCAATAAAATAATCCTTCCGGAGTGAAAGATGGGGAAAATATGCAGCCAGAATGTTGTCAGCTGTCATGGTAGACATTTTGAAGTTGTTGTTGAAGGAGTGGGAACATTTCAGTGACTCTCATGTAGTTTTCTCTCTCCCAATGCAATATCTTGCTAGAAAAAGTTCTGACTTTGTCTTGAACATTCAAAATGATAAGATAATTGCCTTTCATACTCTGATTAAGAGTATTTAGTAACTGGAATACACCTGACATGTATGTAAGCTTCAGAACCCACAAACATTTTTCAATTTTCAGTTTTCTTTTCAGAGAAATCATTCAGCTCCTTTTGAAGGTTATAAACACATTTTAACACTGCCCATCGAGATAGGCAGCTTACTTCTGAGGAGCTAGTTGTTTAGCCAGCTGTCAGTTTGAAATCCCAGATCTAAGTTATCAACACGCTTGACAAAAAGGGAATGAGACTCACACAGTCAGTACCCACCAACCAATTGGTTTAAAATCACGTGGTGATAGTGGAAACGTAGAAACCAAAACATAAGAGTTCAAAAATAATATTTATCTTAATAACAGAAATGGGACTAATAGTTTTTGGTTTCAACAGGACAAGAAGGAGAAGCATGGCTCTATCATCCTGGGGCTGACCCTGCGAGGAATGCACATTTATCAGGTGTGTTATTTTGCCCGGCTTTCAAAATGTCCAAATTTTAGAATTCAAGTATGTGTGAAAAATGTTAAGAATTTGAGTACAGATAATGAATGTAGATGGTGATACTGGGAACAATGATACGTGGTTAATTATGGTTTCTTTGGCACAGATTGGTTACCTGAAGCTATTTCCAGCAGATGCTTTGAGATTGTTCATTCTTTATGTCTTAGGAGCTGAACCGTGTACGTCAGCTGCTGTACGATTTCCCGTGGTCTAACGTTGGCAGGCTGACGTTTCTGGTATGTTGGGTGCATCTTTCTCCTTTGTGGAATCTCATATAACCTGTTTCTCATCGGTCAACATGGCGTGCCAAGCAGATAACAAGAGCAACAATGCATTGCTAATCTTTCTTGTAATTTGACACATCCACTGACTCTTTTATTTTGTGTATTAACAGATGACTTTTGTTATATCAATTTTAAATGTTTCTTGTTGCCTTATACAAGGCTTGAAACTCTGAAGAACAGTTTCTAAGATGCACATACTGTAGCAGAAGTACATACTGTAGCAGAAGTACAGAATGTGTGTTTCTGAGAAGAATGTGACACAGGATACTGATGGCAAGTTACATTGCAGGTGAAATATAAGAGACAAAGTCGTCAGTGTTACTTTTGCCATATTGCAGGGTAAAAAGTTTGAAATCCAGCCGGATGGGCTGCCATCAGCCCGAAAGCTTGTGTATTACACTGGCTCCCCTTTCCGGTCCAGGCATCTGCTGCAGCACCTCAGTAACGGTCACCGGCTGTACCTCAACATCCAGCCGGTACTCAAACACATCCGCAAGATCGAAGAGACTGAGGGTAAGAGTGTGAGACGGGCTTGGACAGAGCTATTGAGTTTGCTTCGGTGTCCAGGGAACTGTACATAAACTAAAATAATAATGTATTACTCACCATTACTGACAGTCGTAGAGATCGCAAATAATAGACATTGTAAGAAAAAAAAAAGGCTGAAGTTTGTTTTTAGGTAAGGTTTTTCTCTCTGAGGCAATGAAGTTACCAAAATTAAAACCAAGTACTCGTCCTTCACCATTTGATCTTACATAGAGCAGCTGTGACAAGCAGCAAAAGGCTGGTGGGTGATTTCAAACATCATATCCCTATGAAATAAAATCCAGAGAGGAAAAAGACTGAATTTTAAGAGTCCAGCAGAGGTTAAATGGTCATTTAGTTTTGCTGGTTCTGTAAAATAAATAAATCCTTACTTTTATATAGCACTTTTCTAGACACTCCACTCAAACTGCTTTATGGGGACTCCCCTCCATCAGCAATGTGTAGCACCCACCTCCACGATGCGACATGCCGAAGTGTGCCAGTACGCTCACACCAGCTATCAGTGGGGAGGAGAACAGAATAGAGCAGCCGATTCATATACGGGCATTATTAGTTGGCCCTGATTGGTAAAAACCTGGGGGAAATTTGGCCAAAATACTCTTTTTGAGAAATACCTTGGGATTTTTAATGACCACAGAGTGTCAGGACCTCAGTTTTACATCTCATCTGAAGGACAGCACTTTTTTTTTTACAGTGTAGTGTCCCCATCACTATACTGATACTGGGGCATTAGGATCAACACAGACTGCAGGGTCAGCACCCCCTCCTGGTCCCACTAACAAGCTTTTCCCAGGAGGCACTGGCCAGACTCGCTGCTAAGCTTCAGTGGGCTGCCAGCTGTGAGCTGCTGAGTGATATAGCTGCCGGCATTCCATAAATCTGTCAAAATCCCAGTAAAGCCTTTGGTTTTCCAGAGGATGGAATATGAGTTGTGAATGTCGTCCCGTCCCCCCAGATAAGAAGCGATACCGCGAGTCCTACATCAGCGACACCCTGGAAGTGGACCTGGAGCCCCTTGGCCCGGTCGCGGACGGCAGCCCCCGCTTCCCGCGCCGCTCCTGCTCCGGCAGCAGCCGCGGGAGCTCCGGCATCGAGGCCGACGCCCGGCAGCGCACGTCTGTGGAGATGTCGGTGGACGAACCCTTCTCCCTGCCCCCCGCGCACTCCGCCATGAAGTCCTTCAGCTCGGCCATCAGCCACGGCAGCTCGCACACCTCCGGCATCGAGACCGGCAGCAAGACCCGCGCCGATGATGACTGGCAGGATGACGGTGAGGGGAAACCGCCCTCACTCTTGCCTCCACGCATTTACACTGTCCGGATTAGGGAGTGAGGGATCACGGAGGGACTCTGGAGCAGGACTGGGTACTTCCACTGCAGTCAACCTGTGATCATCTCAGAATCCTGGCTAAACATAGTGTGGCTTGGCACAGAATCGATCTGAATTTTGGATTCTTATCTTCATTGTGTTATTTGTCATGTCCTTCAACGGTCAGTGGGCTTCGCCCTGCTTTATCCCTATTTTGGGTAGATAACTAGACACCTGTTACTCCCCAAATAGTTCCCGTCCCTAAGACAGTCTGAAGGACTCTGTCCTCAACAGAGCTCATGTCTCCGAACAGAGAAGGAGCTTAGTTGTGGTGAAATTAAGAAAACTAGGGCACTGGCCCCTTAAGAAAATCTGCCTGCCTTAGTTTTGATCTGTATACCTGTGAGCCACAACTCCCACTACTGTGATGACACTTTGCTGAGGGTCTCCCAAACTGCTTTTTTTGAAGGGATATTCACCTTTCTCCAGATTCTGCACTGATGTTACCCATTAACTGGATTACTTAGCTGGCTGGCTGAACTTCTGTTTGCATACATTCCTCACTGTTGTGTGGGGATAATTGCCTGCAAAGTATTTTATTCAATGTGAGCAGCTTCTCTGTGTTCTTTGGCAGCCCTCTCAAAGCAAAGACACCCCATTCCTTGACCAGAACAAAGTCTATTTGTCACTATAGAAAAAGATAAATTCAGTTTGAATGCTTTGTAACTTGTATGATGAAGGGTTTTGAACTTTTTATTTGATCTGAAAATGATAGATGCAGAAATTATACACTGGATTAGGTTCACTGGCTAATTCAGAAAAAAACAAATGATTAGTATTTGTTACGAACTTATTTTACCTTACAGCTCATTTTTGGTTAACTGTGTTTCACTTGCTATGGTCCTTTAACCATAGAAAATGAGCAATATACAGTATATGTAAAGTAAACACTTCTAAAAACAAAATGCAGTACTTGAACCACAGGTTTGTATATAAAACAACTTTTCCAGCTATAATCAGTATTGTTCTATAAGATAGATATTTAACACTGGTCATATTGGAATGCTAGAACTGTAGAAGTACAAGCACATATTTTCCTAAGATAAGAAATAAGCTTATGTTTTAGGAATTAGATCAAAGACACTAACAGTCAGTCTTGAAAATAACTTTTAGCACTACAATTGCAACAATGTAGAACACAACTTCAGAAAACTGCTTTTGAAAATGTACAAGGCATCATGACTGCATACTCGTTAAGATATTAACTATAACTCAAAGTCTACACAAAGTTATCTGGGTTACAATTAAGAGGACTTTGCTTTTAAGCAATACATTCTTGATAAAGGTAAATGAACCATTTACTTTGATCAGATGTTCCAACGCAATAATGCAAAGTCAAGCAATCCTTGGTCATTTTTTGAACATGCGTTTTAAGTAACATTTGCAGGAATAATGCACACTTCAGCAATTAAGCCAGCTGTCATTCATAAAACCTGTCATTACTTATCAGGTATCTGATAAAGTTTCTCTGTCCGTTCTGGGCTCATGTTGTTTGATGTGGACCTTTCTCTCGTGCAGAGGTGGAGCTGGCTGTGGATGAGCCTGAAGAGGTGTCTGTGGATGACCCAGAAGAAATGTTGCAGTTCTTGGCCAATCAAGAACAGAGCTGGAAGGGTTAGTGACCATGGAGCTGAGAACACATGGATGACTGCACAGCACTTCATAGATCATCACTGTACAGCTGAACACATATAGTAGTAGCTGCTCTGTGACAATAGTAATAGTGAATACCAAACTATTCTCAGCCATGCCTTTACTGCCACCTACTGTCCTATAATGTTTTTCTTCTAAAAATGGAATTACAAATTTCCATAACTGAGCAGTTTCATAAAAGCAATTGTCACACAAGTGTTCAATGAAGAGTTTCAATATTTTAAACTAAAAAGTGCTTTAAAGTATTACCTTTATATGGAAACCAAACTCCTATCATATAGCTTTATTTTTTGCAGATGTCACTATCCAGCCTGTGAGCTCAATAGAAACGCGAGTGAGACTACGTAACATAGACTCCCTTGAACAGGTGAGTCGCTGAAGACATATTTCAGAGTTTAGGGATAATTGCTGATTTAAATCTCATTACAAATCCCAAAGAGGAGAGTCATGTAACCAGTAAGATAGTGGGATAGTATTCTAGGAGCCTGGTGTATAGTGAAAGTTAGGATCCAGATTCCTGTGACTGCTGTCCTGTTGTCTCACACAAGCGCTGCTTGGGTGTGTTTCCTCATCCTTGTTCTTCCACACCTCTCTGACAGACGTCTAAGCGGAAAGGTCGGAGCTGTACAGACCGGCACAGCCAGAGCCTGGATGACGTGCGTCTGTATTCGCCACCAGCCCCACTAGGCGCTGGCCTGCACACAGATACGTCTCAGAGCTACACCTTCGGTCTGTGCGCGCCTGACCCAGAGGACCAGTACTGCTACACATACTGCACCAGTGAGGGCCAGACTAAACCATCCTTCTATGGCAAGAGGTCCATGAACTGCCTCTCCCTGGACCTATTGGGGAACGAACAGCTGCTGGAGTTCATGCTGTAATTCAGGACTGCGTTGAGGAAGCAACCCACATACACAGCACTTTAAAATGTAGGCCTGTTCTGACTGGAGAAGGAGGTCAGTCTAGTCCTCTGCCTGGAGACTCTGGAAATGGAGGAAGGGTGCCTATTGAACAAATACTGTATTGAAGGACTCATGCATACAAAGGCTGCATGTGAAGGAAATCATGCATTGCCAGCCATGCAAGAATATACCTTTATACCTCACAGCCAGCTGATCATACACTCAGTGACCAGTGAACAAATATACTGGATATTCCATTATTGCTTTGAAATGGGAAGGTTTTCCTTAATTTGTAAAAACTCTTTTGATTATATGTGAAAATGTTTATTTTGTAATCCATTTTCTCACAAGCTGCTGTGTCTTCCATGTTCTGGCAGCTGAACTAGTATTTTAAAAAATGCAGCTGCAGTTGTTGCAAAAGAAAGCGTACTGGGCCAGAAACTCAGTCCATACTTCGCCTTGAATAATATGTTTCAAATTGATTTGTTCAGTGGAGGTAACAAATCTATCATCTCTCTTGATAAGATAAGTTAACAATCTTCCTATCATAGAAGGGGATATTTGACAGAATATTGCAATACAAAGAATAACATCCATTTAGTGTTACATTTTTGGTAACTAACATTTAATGTGCTCTTGTAGTCGTCTTTTACTGTGGTATTTATGTGTTGTTAAAGGTTAAGTTGGGGACCAGGACGTTGTTTGTGGTAAAGAGTGAGTTCAGGGAACAGTGCAAGAGGAGGGAAAGGAGGGACAGGACAGGGCAGAAGAATGTTTTTGAGGGTAGTTGGCAGCTTTCATTGGTGTTTTTTGTCAAAAATTTTAGGGTATTTACTGTAGTTTTCTTCAATCGGTTGGTATTACAAACTGTTTAGGCAATTTTATTTTTTGAACAATTTGGGATTGCCGCTTTTTAAATACCAGCTTTCTTTGGGATCCCTAGTTGTTTAAGACTCCGCTTTACTCATCAGCATGAGGTTCCAGCTTGTGTACTGCATGAAGAGAATGAGGACCTGCAGACGTCCTGCTCTGATTACCTGCCTGTGAGAACGGTTTTTGTTTGACACACTGCAAGTTCCACAAGGCCTTATTGGAAAGTTCTTGTAGGCTAGAACTCATTTCTCCCTGGTGCAACCGTAGACCTGAGGGGCGGCAAGCAAGTCGCAGCTTGTTTTACTGAATGGCGAGAAGGCTCGGCCTTGACACACACAATGGTGCCACCACTTTTCAAATTCCAGTCCCAGTCGGCTCTTGACATGACCCAGACTTGTCTGAGCCACAGGGCTCAACCTCTGCTCTGGGCAGCCGATGGTTTTTGAAGCAAAATGAAAAGACAGTTGTATTTGTAACTGTTTTTCCTGTGACAAGGATGTACTGTATTAAAGAAAGTTATCCGGTAAGAATGAAGGTGTGCTATTGAGCAGGATGAAGTGTTTAGATGTTATTCCAGCTCTAGTGCTCTTGTATCGTTTTCACGTTTCACTTTTTTGGCATGTTATTAATTCACTAGTGGAAGGTTTATTCCACTAGTGGAACGTACTGTGTCCCTGGGGATTCACAGGACACTAAAGGAAATGTTTCTATAATAACTTAAGGTTCCTCTTCAAAACCAAGAGTTATACAATGTTTTCTGTGTTAATGGCTTTATTTTCACAAGATTGAATTTAATGCATTCTGCAATTTGATTAAAAGGATTTATCACAAAGCTTATGCAAATTGTTTAAATAAGGGGTACATTAATGTTAAGACTGTATATATGTCCTTGTTAATATGCCCTGTTTGTCTTTCAGGATTCTGAAAATTGAAAGTGTGAATGTGAGAGATAAGGATTATTCTCAACTATGAGAAGGGTACATCTGGTTTATCAGTTTGCAGAATTCTTGCACTTGATTCATGATATGTTATTTTTGTTCAAAGCCTATCTTATTTGGAATATGTATCTTGTATTTTTAGAAGTTGCATCAATCATTGCATTTTCCTGTGTATTATTTATTTATGTCTAGCATTGAAAATAAGATTATTTTATGCAAAGAATCTACCAACAGGTTTGTTGGTATTCTTCATTCTAGTATTAATTGTAAAAGCTGTGACTGTTCGTTCTTCTTATTTTTTATATTGGCATTTTTCTATTAAGAAATTCCTTGTACCTTTTTATATCTGTGACCTATATGATCATTTATATCTTATGTAGACTAATTACACCATATTGTATTAATTGCTGTGTTTAAAATCATTTATACATTAAACAGGTAAATAGAGTTTTTCTCTAAATGCTTTCTCCTTTCAGTGAAAGGAAACATTTTTGTAAGACTATAGCAATAAAAATGATGAAATGTCCTAATGAATTAAAGTGAAGACTTATTTTTGATGTCCTTGAAGATGCTTGGCGAAAACTCAGATCTGCTCGGGACACATAAAAATCTCTTTAGCATCTTACATTAGAGGTGATGAAAATCGTTTAATATTTCTAAAAAGATTAATAGTAATATAGTATTAACAGAGTAATGTAAATGGGATAATAACCATCCTCTGAAGTAGAGAAATTGCATGTAAAAATAAAACCCTAATACTGGTCAGAGCCTGGACTACCTGCACTTCTATAAACATCTCAAACTACAGTGTTTGCAGAAGGTACAGTAATTTGATTCACCAATACAGTATTTTATAAATGAAATACATGTCATAAATGTATTAACAGATTATATATTGCATGGTAGCGCAGTGGATAACATTGCTGCCATGCAGTGCTGGGCTCCTGGGTTCAATCCAAGACCTGGGTGCTGCTCTGTGTGGAGCTGTATGGTCTACCAGTGTACGTGTGAATTTCTTCTGGGTGCACTGGTTTCCCCCAGCAGTCCGTAAACATACTTACAAGTTAAGTATGTTATACATACAAAGAGTTAATTGGCTACTGGTAAAAGTGGCCATGGTGTGAGTGTGTAATTAACTGTGTTGGCCCCGTGATGGACTGGCATCCCATACAGGGTGTGTCCTGTCTTGCTCCCATTGCTTGCCAGGATATGCTCTAGCTATTATTAAATTAATGGGCTTATTTATTTTTAAAGCAATTTTTTTCAGCCTCTAAATATTTACCTTGCAATCGGTTTCCTACACAACCTGTTTCAGAACTATTGCTCAGAACTGGAAAGCTTAATTTCCTTTGCCAGATCTATGTAGAACATTCCTTTGATCCAGAAAAAAAAGAACTCTGTAGGGTGTGTCACCTCCTCACAAGTCAGAATTTGGATGGTCACCAATGGTGGATAACTTCATCGTTTGCTAGCCTAAGATCTCGTTTACGTGACGAGATTCAGTGCTCAGACTCAATAACTGGAATAGATCACAATCCATGTGAAGGGATTATGTCCTGTTGTGGGTTTTTAGGAGAGTGAGAGGTGGTTGGCTTAACATTTTCTACCAGTATACGAGTTATAGATATGATTCATAAGTCAAATCGAAGTCCCATTCAACACACAGAGACACTAAACAATTGCTTAACGCAAGAAGGAAAAGGAAACGTAAAAAGTAAATACATGATCATGTAAATAAAGTATGTATCGTGGACAGGGGATAATGTCTGGTTTTTAATTGCACGGGCGCACAAATTTATCTGTTGGAAGTTTCCGATTTTACCAGAAAACCGTAAAAGAAAAAGCACAAACCAATACACCTTGGGAGACGACTGCATTTTTATATACACCGCCGTAGTACGTCGTGATGACGTAATCGTAAGCATGCGTAGCCCAGAAGAGCACGTGGAATCCCGGAAGTTATCTTAAATGCAGTTGTGTTGACAGCGTGTTCGACTGTGCCTGCTCCTTTTTCAGTTTCATTGTGCTTAACGGTGCACACAATGACCTCTGTTTTAATAGATGTTCTTTTATTAAACTGCCGGGACTTTGGGGCTGTTTTAGACTCACTCTGCTGGGGAAGCGATTCCTGGCCTCAGACGCAGACGGTAGAAGCTCTAAGTTGTTTTATCAGAAACATTGCTAGTGTGTTGGACCGCACGCCAGCTGGTGATGGGGCTTCCAGTAATCCACCAAACAAGAGGCAGATTCTCGATAAGGTAGAAAATGTAGTGTGGGATCATTGTTTCCCGCTATTGTTTAAATTTTCCCGTGAAAAAGAATTGAGCAAACATAATAACAACGGTCAGAGGAGGGAGATTATCCCTGCGGTTTGCGGATTGTTAAACGCCTGTCTCGGACTATGTGGCCGCTCTGACACGGCAGAGAGAGTGGTAGATACCGCTCTGCCTTTTATGCTTGCAGGGGTTGACGAGGACAGCTTGGAATTGTCAAGCGATGGGTGCTTGGATGCAGATATCGCTGTTGAGGTTATAGCTGCTGCACTACCATTCATTTCATCTGAGCCACGGACGACGCACAGAGTGCTTATTGCTGCTTTCACTTGCATTAGGAAACATAAAGATCACGTAGTGTCAAAAGTGACAATCAGGATTTTATCCACTCTTCTGAACTACAGCAAAATGAGGAAAACGGATACGCTGCAACGCATCTTAGAAGATTTAAGCGTCTGGCAGGTGGAGGACAGCAGCCCCAGTGTGACTGGACGCATCCTGCTGTGCCTGACAGCTCTCTCAGACCACATGTTCTCGCTCTGTGCCGAGACCACCGAACACCCAGACCCCCGGCTCTCCGAGCGCTTCTGGAAGACCGTTCAGAACGGATTGATTCACAGAGACAACGTGTCGCGCAAAAGAGCCCTTTACTTGTTGAAGAGATGCATTGCCGTCTCGGAAGCAACGAATACTGCTTTCCACAGCGGTCCACCAGAGGCCAACGGTAAGAGTGTATTAACGGTATGAGGAACAGCCGAGTAATGCTCAGTACTGGATATGCCATTTCTGCTCATTTGTATTTCTTTTAATTTTAATATTATAACTACAAGTGCCATCCCCTGTAGTTGCAAAGGTGATACTTCTGAACGTATTTGTGAAGATGGATATTTTAAAGACAAATTTTGGATTCCGAGAATAGGTCCAGTATCGTAATCAAGGCTGGAATAGGGAACACTCGTAGGTCATGTCATTGCCCTGTCCATGTGTGTTTGCAGGGGTCAGTCTGTTTTGGTGGGCTCCAGACCAACATCAGCTTCTGCTGGGATTTTGGGAAGATTACATTTTAATAATGGAGACTTTGGATGAAAACCAGGTATAACACCTAAAACACACTATATATATTCTTATAAAATAGTATCTCTTTGACATGAATACAAATGCTTCCATTACAGTTCCAGGAAAGAAGTCCAGATAACACCTCACATAATTCCTTATCTGTTTTGTTTTAGATTCATGTTGTCAGGCCTGTGCTGAACAGAATTAATAAACTCATGGAGGTGTCTATGATGGACAGACAAGGTAATGTTCTGAATGCTGTATTAAAGGAAAGATATGATGCCCATAACGCATTCCTTTGTCCAATTTTTAGGTTTTACAAACTACAATCTCTGGTACAATTGATGCTGCTTAAGAAGCAAAGTTGGTCCACGCATGTTTTCTTAAAATAAGATGAAAAATGCCTAAAATATTAAGCACCTGATATTGGCACATATGACAGTCCACAGCCTATAAAACCTCAAACTGATTTGAAGTAGGAACCACAATAAAATCTCCTTATTTAAAGCTTTCTCTTCTTTTTCTTTGTTGCAGTTTTTTTCCTCTGAGCAAAACTCTGAGCCAGTTGTTTCCCTGTTCTTACTCCCATCTGTTTTGTCCCAGACCGCTGCTGGTTCCACCCCAGCTGGCTGGTATGTGTGTACAGGAGGATGTTCGACAGTGAGAATAAAACTGTGATGAGAGTAGGGGTGTGCCACCTGCTGGACATGTCTGTGATGGACTTGCCCATGTTCTCCCTGGGCTTCTCTGAGGTAGGCATGGCAGGTTTGTTCTACACTATCCTTCTGACCTGTTGAATCATAGAGAAAAAGAGCTTCTTTGATTCTTCCTGGATGCAGGGGTTTTCCAGTCTAGAACTTCTCAGCTAATGAAGTATGAAGTTTGGAAACTCACGGAAACCAATACATTTCAGAACGATAAAAAGCTAAGCAGCAGGTCCAGGTTTTAAATCTTCTAAGAGTACTCACGTTGATTTTTTTTTTCCCCAAACAAAGTTCAGAACTGAACCACGATGACTGTTCTGTTTATTTTTACAGTTCATTGTGGGTCCGTTCCTGGATGTCCTGGCAGAAAGCACATTGTTTAACAGGTGAGCCAGGTTATTTAAACATCAGTTATTGTCAACAGCTGCCCATAAAGAAAACATACGTCAAACATAAAGGAAATATATTATGCCACAAAACGTATTGTTGGAAGTTTACCACAAATTTTACTGTGATTATCCCATTATATATAGAAAAGCCCTGAAGTAGAGAAGTTCTTTCTCTCCAGGACACTACTGAGAGAATTCTGAAATAAGAACTTGTAATGTGTAAATGTTTCCTTTGCATTAGAAGATGATAAAAATGTACACCTCACGATAGTGGTTTGCTGTGTTAGGTCTGTAGGACAGAGCATCGGGGAGTGCCCTGAACTGGCAATCAAGCTGCAAAGGTTTCTAGTGACTTTCATCAGTAGTCTGCCAAAGGAGAAACAAGGTAAGAGCATATCTCAAACTGAAATGGCCAGGTTTCCAGAGACCAAATTCATTGTAGTTTTGTGTTTGGTTGTGTCTGTCTTACTGGTGCTGCCTAGATCTACAGATCTTATAGTTAAGTGATTGTTTCATTGAAGAAATACCATACCAGTCTCCATATTGCCTTCCTGCAGGAAGTGTGCTGCTGCAGATGGTTCAGAACCTGGCATGTCGTCACTGGTGTGCTGTTCCCCTCCTGTTCATCTCTCAGGCACTATCCCAGCTCCCATGCTGTTCAGCCCTTGGACTGGAGGGTCTGTGTGCTCTTAGGTAGGACTCCTGGGCTACTGCTTTCAATCTACGGTGCTTACTGCAATGCTAACAGCACACAATTGATATCTGTATTCCATACATAAATGACTGAATGTAAGAAATGTTTCATTTTAGCACCCCCTCACCTGAATCAGAGCCCTCACCCTGATGACCAGGTAATTGTGCAACAAAAACCGATGGGTCAGAAGCAATGTATATCTTTATTTTTCAGAGAGGTTCTCCGCTGTACCATGATTACTCACCAGGTTCTGCTGCGAGGTGCTGCTCAGTGTTTCCTGCTCCACAGTGCCCTGAATTTAACTGATGTGGTAAGAGAATCACCTACCTTCTTGCATGCCTGTGATACAAGTAATACTGCACAAGGCCGTGGCATTTAGGGTTTTAAACCTTTTTTTAATTAGTTGTTTTTATTTTGTAAAGACATTAATCTTTTTCTTTTCTCCATCTCTCAATAAGTTTACATTGTGCTTTCAAACTCTCGCTCCTACAGTGTGGGGTGTCCTGGTGTCTGATAAGGTGTTTTTGATATAAACTGGCTATGGCAACAGACGTTTGTTTTCCCATGCCTGACAGAGGAGATGGCACCAGTTTGAGAAGTTATGCTTCTCTTGTTGACATCACTGCTTGCCTGTTGATGCGTGGTGAGTCACAGGGTCCTCTGATAGATCCCTTAGAGGCCCTTGGCTGAATATTCCTAATTGTACCTCACCACCTGGGGACATGATCAGGCTGATGGCTTTAGAATTCCATTTTTTAATTTAAAGAATAGTGTTTCTTCTCCTGGGAGAAACCGATTGTTTAAGTACTTCCTTCACCGTTGGTGTCTGAGGCCTGCATGTATCCACAGACCACAGTAACCCTGGAGGATGTCTTCAGCTTCCTCAAGCATTTCAGAACGGAGGAGTCACTGTGCAGAGGAGCGTTGCTCTGGACTCAAGTAAGACGACCATTATGTCCTAGTACCCAATGGTATATTCCTAGCAATTGGTCTGCAGAGTTATTGAATACAAAATGAACAGGGTGGACATTATTGTTAAAAAATGCAATGCATGCTTCACATTTTTTAAATTGGAACAATAAGTTCTAAAGGAAAACCCCTTCCTTGAATGTTTCTCATTTGTTCTTCATTTATAATTGGAACTTTATGGAAGTGTGGCTCATTCTTGATGATAATGATAAGTCCTGTTGACCTCTGAATCATGTGTAATCTCACAAAACTCTCAATTTGCAGCTTTGTAACTGGCTGCACAGCAATGAGCGTTTGTTCAAGCCTGGAGTCAATGACAAGAACACATATTCAGGAAATGGAGACAGTGTGACAGTGTGCAGTTTTGTGCAGAACCTGGTGGAGTCATTCCTGAGAGTTCCTGCAAGCACAGGTGAGGGGAAGTGTCCTGTAATTGTACTCTCATCCTGTAAGCAATTTCTTACTGTACAGTATGTCTCCCAGGGAAAATTGTCACACAACTTGTGTTAACTGATGATTTATCTCATTTTGAAGCTTATCACTGTATTGCATTTGTTAAAACTGTATTAGAATCGTTATTTGTTTCTCTTTACAAAACAGTTAGAGGTCATGGTTTTGTCTCTCAGGACTCCCAAGCACCTTGCCAGACTGGGGTGATGCTGAGCTGGTAGCAAGAGCAATACTGTTGGCTGCTGATCTGGAGGAGCAACATGGACGGAAGAGGTGCTCTTTGTTCAGATGCACTAGATGTTAGACGTTAAGAGCAGACTCTGTGTGTAACCACCCTTTGTGGGTTTTGTTATAGGTTCGGGGCATCTCAAACTCACACCTGAATGTCATCTCATTGATTGGAACTCCTGACTCCAATTACCCCCTTTATTAAAGGTCATTATCCTAGAGGTTCACATATTTTTCCAGCATAAGCAGTGAATGTTTAAACAATGTGTCCAATATAGACAAGAAAAAGCATAATCGTTTGTGTGTTAATTATTTAATCAGATTGTTTTTGTGTCTATTATTATTAGTTAGCTGAAGATCAAAGCACCCTTTAGGAGCAGATAATGCAGGAATACAGATGATCCCAAATGGTTCATAAACTTTTCCTCACAACTGTGCCGGCAAAGATCAGAAAGGTTCTCCTTTCTAGGGGAATAACCCTTGTCCAATGAAACCAGTGCCTGAATGTTTTAATTGGAGTCATCTTGTCTTGACACCTATAGCACGTACAGTATGCTGATGTGTCTTTTGTACTGTTCAGTGAAGCAGGAGCATCTGAGCCTGGACTGGGACGACTGCTGGGCCCCCTTATGGACACGCTGCACAGACTCAGCACCAATGTCTACTTGCCTGTGCACAAGACTGACAAGAGCTTGCAGTTACTGCTCGCTCTGCTGCAGCTCTGTCACGGAAAAGACAATAGCCTATCTCTGCAGGGAAAAGCTCACCAGGGTCAGTACTGCACAGAGTACTGGTTATATTTATTCCAAAAGAAGTGAAAACCTAAATTTTGACTAAACTGAGCACCTGATATACCTTAGTCTGCAGTCTTTTTAATGCCAAAGAAATGTATATATTACTATGCAGTACTTTTGTACAGCACAAATAGGAGAATTTATACACAGGAGTTCCTTGAGTTAATGTGCTTTCTTAAAATTCCAGATTCTGTCATAACTGCTTTAGAAGAAGCTGTGCTGGCCAGCACTGGGTCAGTTCTGGAGTACATTCTGAGGAGGCTGAGCAGTGAACTGTGTACAGTGAGTTTATCCAGTGTGTCCTTCAACTGTTCACGACATTCTGTGCTGCAACATGTCAATGTTGGCCATTTTCATCTTTCTTTTTATATAATAAATGGAGCCATCACATATCAACTTGTTTGTGTTTTACATTTTCACTTTTTAAACAATTAACCTCCCAGTCCTTTTGTTTTGCTCTGTGTGACAGCCCAGAATGTACTTTGGTTGCATCATAGATTGCAGTATTATGGATTACCATGTGTTTCGGACTATTGAGGAAACTGAGTATATAACTGTACCTATAACTAAAAAATGATATTGTGGTGGAATATAGTGTCTTTAGTGTCTGGTCTGCCTTCAAGCATTGCAGTTTAAGAAACAAATTCTTCTTCTTCTTCTATCTGTTGTGGTTCTCAGCTCTCCGATATTGAGCGCTGCCGTCTGTATCTTTCTGTGCTACGTGAGCTGGTCAGACTGTACACTGCAGTTGGCTGGCACAGGACCTCCTGGCTCCAGAGCTTCATCCTGTCACTGCTCAAGAGCTGCTTGAGGAACCTGCAACTGCAGAGAGAGCAGGTACATCACTGATATATCTGTTTTACTGTTTATTTTACATCACTGATTTACTGTTTTGCTGCAGTTGTGTCATATATAAACTTATAACACTAGATGGCATAGTTTTCCATTGGATAGATGACCATGTGCTAATGCTTCCGATGCTCTTAACATGGAGAATGTCAGGCCTTTGGAACACTTTTGATATTATGTAATGTTATAAGCAACAAAGTTTTAACAGGAACAAAAAAAAAAGTCCAGACTTGACCAGATTTCTGTTGTTGGAATTCTACAGAAGAAAAAATGAACTTTCTTGTATCACATTCCCTTTAATTTATTACTGCTGCCTGTGTGTGTATTAAATGTTAATAGATGGATGTCCCATTTTTCTAACAAAATCTGTAAGAAGAGCAGATTTCGTTTTCTATTCCAACACTATAATAATGTCTGCATTCACTCCAGGCAATTTAATCTCTGTATTTCCTTGCAGTGCCCCCAACTGGAGGCGCAAGTCCAGAGGTCCGTAAGCATGGCGTCTTTAGCATGGGTCTGTGAGGTGGTAGACAGACACCACGAGAAGCTTGACTCTAATTCCACCAAGGCTCTCGCAGAGTTAATTGCCCATATCTCATCTGCCCCCATGAACCAGGCGTTGGACAAACCTGATGCCGGTGGAGACCAGCAGGGGTCAGTGTAACAGCTGTCATTTAATAATGTGTTTACTAACGTTGTTGCAGAGTAAAGGTAGAAATTCTCATATAAACCGTTATGAGATTCGTAGTTATTAATAGAGTCAATACAAAATGAAAGACTGTGTTCAGTGTTATTTGTGTGCATACTGTATTTACCAAAACATAACAATTAAAAAGTACTTCTGTGAGATATTCCTCATTCATTGCTCAGGTCCTGCTGTCAGTCCACGCTGATGCTCATATTCCTTTATTTTGCAGTACCGTTGAAGAGCTGTCCTCTTTGCAGGGCTGGGGCCGAGTGGCTGCACAGTTTGTTCAGGACCAGTGGACGTGTCTGCATTTTGTGTTTAAGCATCATGTCCAGCCTAACACTGTCGTCCCTCAGCCTTCCATTGTTCTGAAAGCAGCTTTGGAGGCCCTGGCTATCCTGCCATGTGACCATGTTCTGCCAGTGCTGTGTTGTATGAGAACAGTACTTCCCAAGGTCTGCTTCTTTAGTCCTCTCTTTCCATACAGATGTACTCAAGAAACTTTTTATTAGCCAGCATAAATGTCGTAGTGGTTCAAATAAAATACCTAAGTATTGACTTGTTAATCCATTTTAGGTTCTTGACATTGATCGATCTCTTAACATAACATTCATCCTTGTTACTGTATTTATCATTTTTAACGATGATAGGTTAGAGCAAACCCGTGCACTAAGCCAAAAACTCAATCAGAATCTTTGCATTAGAGATATGCATTTATATGAGTGAATATAGGATGCTTGGTAACAAACCTGAGCCTGCTTGTCTCTGCTCTGCAACAGCTATTGTTTTCAGATGCATCTCTGTGCGTGGAGACTATGACTGTGACATGGAAGGTGGTCCAAGGCCTCAGCAGCAATCCACATGATTTCTGGACAGCTCTTCAAGGCTTCGTCCTCTTTGCATTTGACCACAGTGTTCTGGAGCTCAGCTCCAAGGAAGGGTGTCTGATTACATCTACGGTGAAGGAGGTAAAATCTGTTTGTATCTAGGGGGTCATACAGTGTCTGTTCTGCCTTGGATTTTGGTTGCTTTACTGAGGACAGTTAGCTTTGTATGAGGACTGGGTTAGACAATACTGCTGTTGTTCCTGCAATTTACAGGTTTGGATCTGATATTGAGTTAGATTTATATGCCAGAATATTTTTAGGCTAAACTGTGGTAAAATAGAGGTTATGCTCGTAGATTTAGAAACCTCGGTGTTACCTTTGAGACCATGCTATCAGTTGAAACTAACAGTGTCCCACTGATATCTTTTGCATCTTTGTAACAAACCCGTGGCTAAGCCTGATGCTGAAATATTCATGCATGGCTTTATTGTTAAGATTAGACTTCTGTAATATCTTACTTACTAGATTATCTTCTAAAGTATTAAATGGGTTTTAAAATGACTGACCTCTACATTGTTTGCTAACTAAAAGCCCTCTTGTGCACAATTCCCATCCTCTGTAAATGGCACTGGTTGCTACAGCAATTTAAAGTGGATTTCAGTTCTTCTGTTCACTTATATGACACTGAATGATCTTGGTTCAGATTATTTTAGGGACCTATTGCACAAGTATAGTCTGCTTTTTAATCTGAAATTACAAAGATGAGGTTCCGCACAAAGGGTGATAGAGCAAATTAATTCAACTCTTTGACTGTCCTCTATTTTCAAAACTCACTTAATCCATATTCAATGCTTTCTGAGTCACACTTTTCCTCTGTCCCTTTGGTGACGGAATTCATCATATGATTAATTGCTGCAGAAAATATTGGCAGGTCATCCATCCTTTTGACTGCAAGGAAAGTGCAGGTCATAAACTCAGGAGTTGTGAGCTCGTATTTTTTAAACACTATACACAAAGGAGTTTTTTTGTGTTATATTTATCATAGATTAAGAAGCAAGAGCTGTAATATGATTTTTTTTGTTTGCTGTATTCCTCTAAATTGGTCTTCTAGCCATCATCTTAAAATAGGCATTTGTAAAGAATAGAATGAAGAATGAATATGACTGGTGATCTTAAAATGTATGTTTTGGCTTGCAGCTCAGTTTCATTTTCTGTTTTACACCAGAACTGACAGTTTCCAACAGAGATAAGATTAAACACCTATATATAAGGCACTGGAAACACCACCATCATTCCTGTTTTTGTTCTTATACAGATTGCTTCAGAATTAATTGAAATGTCCCAGGTGAAAATGGGAGTCTTTAACATTCTCATTAAACACTGTTGTGAGACCTGGCTGCCTCCTGACCCTGGGGATGAGAGTGCTTTCTCCAGTGCCTTAAACCACTTGGACATTATCACAGAAGCCTGCATTCATGGGCCTGTCTTCAGGAGAGACCAGAGGTTAGTTGATCTTTATTTTTCTTCCAGACTGTGAAAGATTAATGCTTAATGCTGGTAATTATTAATATGGGTAACATCTATAGGTAGGGAATCTACATTGACTGTGTCTTTATAGTTCAGTTATTGTTTTGTGTGTCAGAGCTTTTGGTGTTGAATTTAACAGGTGTTTCTTGATTTAGGTTGATTCAAGATGTACAGACATATGTTGAACAACTTGGAGATGAATGTGCTGCAAATACTGTTGTCAAAAGGTAAACTCATTTCACTTGAGTGTTACAGTGCACTGTCACATTATTGAACATATAACCTGGAAGCTAGGATGAAACTGAGAATTGGAGTTTATCATTGGATTGAATCAAACATTTCTTTTCTATGTGTAGAACAGTGCTTTTAAAGCACAAGAGGACCTTTTTAATCCTAATACAATCAAAAACATCAAATGCCACACCACTAGAATTGATACAACTATCAAACAAGCTAGCCGGGCCTATTGCCCTCCCCTCATTTAGAAACTTTGAATTTTCTTAATAATGGATAAAATATGCAACCAAAGGGATAGGCAAAGCCAGTATGCAACCTGTATGGCGATAATGAGAAATGCAGCATGTGCTTTGGAGTGTAATGTTAGAAAATGGATAAATACTGCTTTGATAACGATGTACAAAAACAAATATTTGTACAACTTTGTATACTAGTGTTAACCTGTACCAAATGGTGTGTCATTCTGCTCGCCATTATGTAGGCAATTGTCCTGTATCCATTGAATTTCTAAGAGTTTGTAAGCTGCCTGAGGGTGCCATTTTGGGTGCTGTCTTACAGTGATTGGAGGGATGATCTTTATCCCCGGGTTTGTGCCATCACCTTCCTGAGCCGCTTGGATCCTTCAAACAATCTTCATAAAACCTTCATGGAAGAGCTTGTTCTCCAGCTTCTTAAAAAGGTATTTAAATAAAAAAAGAGATATTCAGAATGAAATTCCCACATGTGCATTTGGACTGGTTTAAGTATTGAAAAGTGTGGTGCTTCTAACTAAAAAAATGTAGGATTTGAAACAGAGACTGAACATTGTGGTGAAAAGCTAATAAGTATCTATATGGATGATTTTGTTGCTATTGTTTGTTAAAAGTGAAAAATCAGAGAGCTCAAGACTTAGTTCACGTGTCCAGGAACTTGAACCAAGTTGTTTAACTATTGTGACAGATGTCTTATTTCCTTTTCAAGGGGGAATATTTATTTTAGTGAAATGTAATGAAATGGTATGGTGTTTACACTTGTCTAGTTGAGGGAGCGGCTCTTTCTGATTCTCACACAGCTGCTGTGTGTCTCTGGGCATCGCGAGTGCTTCTGGTCAAGGCTGTGTGACCAAACTGAGGACCTCAGGGCTACTCTCTTAATCCGTTTCACATGCAGAAATTCTACAGCAGTCAAGTGTTGACATACAACAACACAGCCCCCCCCAGGCCTTCTTGTTCACTCCCTTTTCCCATTTCCCTGCAGGATGAAGAGGTGACCAAATCCAAAGTACGTTACTATGGCAACTCCCTGCAGCACCGTGTGAAGAATAGAGTGTGGCAGACTCTGCTTGTCCTGCTGCCCAGACTGGAGGAGGTCAGCTTCTCTCTGCCGTGTAATAACACACGCATTAGGAAAGGCACTTCTCATACAGAATAACAGTCACTGCACAGGCTGGTGACAGCTGCTGTCACCCCTTCTTGCCAGGACAGGGAATGCAGAAGGTTCCTGTAGATCTGCGTCCATACTGCCTCATCAAGCTCTCACTCCAGTTTAAAAAAATGTTGAACTATTGTTGGACTTCCTCAGACTTAGAGGCTGCAGAATCATTTAGAGGCTGCAGGACCAGTGAGCTTCTCATTCGTTTGGTTTCTGTGATCTTGTGGAACCAAGGAACTGTATTTTAAAAAAATTTGATTGAAGAGAATAGAATATGTTATATCATTCACTGCACATATAAATATACATAAACATAATTACATAAATGTGCACGTATATATAAATATACACAAAGAGGATGTGTTGTTCAGCTGAAATATTGTCAAGTCTGGATGAACCCACAGTGAGAGTAGCAGTAAGGTCCCAGGACTTCATCACTGAAGTTATAATCATTAAGCAGCATAAGGGGAATAATGTAACAACATTGAGCAACAACTATACCCAGGCTATCACACTTAACTATGAATGCTGAAATAATCAAAATGATTCCAAAACCATTGAATCTAAACCCAAAAACAGTGTAGTTCAGTTTTGTTAAAACATACAGGTATAAGTGGTGTTATGTTTACTTTGATGTTCAGTAGCTGTTTGGTATGATATAAATCCTATTGCCTTCTAAGTACCCCATTAGATGAAAACACCAGCCTTTGCCTATAACTCAGGAGGTAGTGACTTAAAGGCTGACTTTGGTCTCTGGAGTGAGGCTCATGGAATTTTGTGCTCTCTGCAGGGGTTTGTAGCCAGTGTCCTGGGCAGGGTGTATGAGGCCGGCTTCTGCAGTAACCAGGCATCAGTGAAGTACTTGATTGAGTGGCTGATCACTCTGGTCCTGTTTCATCACCCCGCACTGCTGCACACCTTGTGGGCCTGCTTCCTCCTGGTGAGCTGGTGATGTGGAATACACTACAAGCTTAAACATTGCCATTTAAGTACAGACCTGTCCAAACAGAATTATGGCTGTAATTCAAGCAAAAGGTTCTTCCACCAAGTCCTAATTCAGGGGTGTGTCGAAATGATCCAGCTCATTTTCTAGGTTTTAATTTTTTATTACTTTTCAGAATATTAGAGCATTTGTTTTTCTACTTGGAGGTTGTGTATTACAATGAGTAAGTAAAGGTAAAATACATTCTGATTTAATGTATCTTGATTTTAGGCTGTTAGGCCACAAAATGAATTACTTCAGAAAGTGTTTGTTGACTTTCTGTAGGCACTTTATATGTTGATGTAAGTAAAAGTATATCCAATTTCAGCAATTATTTTAGTCAGAGGTCTTCAAGAGGTGTGCTATTCATTACATTTATTATGAGCCATATTAAGGAAATATACTTGAAACAGGATATGAATGTAATTGTTTGTTACTAATCTGCAAATTAAAAGTTCTCTAAAGGTATATAAATAAATGGGATTATTTCAATGTTTTCTTTATGAAATTACTGAATATAATTTATATGTAGGATCAAGAGAAGACAAAAACCAGCATCTGCACGTTCCTGTCTGTGTTAATACACTTTGACATCATTCTTCAAAATGTGGAGGACAAGGTATAATCTGTGTTTTCGATGAAGATAGCTTTTTTAAAAAGTTTTTAGTTCTAAAAGAAAAAGATTGACATCCTTCCTCTAGGTTTAAGTGCTTACTGGGTTATTAGAAAAAAATATTTTGTGCATGGAAAAACTTTAAACATGATATTGAACCTGGTAAAACATTTTGTTTTCATTGTTCTTCTGCATTGTGTGTTCTGTGTTTGAGTGACCACTGCCCAAAGCCATCATCGTGTGAATTGTACTGCGATTACCGAAAAGGGAGTGTTGGACTTCTGTTATTAATAACCGTGCTGTTGTGTTGACAGGGTGCACAATGGAGGAGAGCATTAGGCGTCACTCTGCAATGGTGCTTCAGTCCCAACTTCACCGTGCGCTTGTACGCCCTGCTGGCCTTGAAGCGGCTGTGGGGTCTCCAGGGGGCGGCCCCTGGGGATGAGCCGGAGCTGGGGGCTCTGTCTGGGTTGGTGCAGGCCAGCCTGCAGCAGACAGAGGCCATGCAAGGCTCCGGGTATGTACTCTGTGGGTATACAGTTCCAGGCAGGCCCCAGACTTATTTGTATTATGTGGAAATGTCCATCATACTGCCTCTTAGTTTTTTTTTTTCTGTGCTAGTATGTGGAATTTAAAAATTTACTCTGTATCCTTTATCATATGGGCAGTTGTTCTAGTAAGATTGTCCTCCTGCCAACAGGAATGCTGTAAAGAACTGGCAGAGGATTCAGGATCACTTTTTTTTTGGAACATTTCACCCTTTGAAGGACTACAGCATAGAGGTGTGTTTTAAAGCTTAATCAATATTATCTGATGTGGAATATAAATTCATAATGATGTTAAATATAGATGGTTGTATGCTGTTACCTTTTTAGTGAGCAAAATACTAATTTTTGTTTCTAGCCATCATGTCTAACTTTACCTCTTTTTTCCCCACTTTCCAGACCATATTCTACACCTTTCCCAGTCTGTCTGAACTGGCTGATGATGAATGGATTCCGGTGTGGAAATTTGAAAGACATATGGAATTTCCCATAAACTCCATGCTTCCACTGCGAAACCTCCGGACAGATCTGGGCAAGCTGGAAGTCGGACATTGGATTCAGCAGGACAAATGTACGTTGTGGTTGCTGTAAATGAGCAGATTGTTCATTAAACACCTCTTGAGCTTTGGTAGAACTGTTAGAATTAGACCAGCTTTCTGGTGTCATTCCTACTGCTGACTTTCCATTGAGGTCCTTGTTGTCCTGGCTGTGCAGGTGATGGCGAAAAGGAGCTGGAGTGGGTGGAAGTGCAGAAGAAGATGATGCCTTGGAAGCTTTGTGTCCCTGATCAGGATCTAGAGCTTGTGTATCAGCAGAGAGCTGCCCGCTTAGGCAAGCTCAACAGCGCTCTCCTTGTGGTGGCTTCACTGATTGACAAACCTACTAACCTTGGAGGTAAGACGGGCACATTAGTTCTTATTAACAGACTCTTCAGTTTTTCTAAAGCTGAGCTCTTCATGAGGTTCATTACAAATTAATTAGTTGTAAGCACTAACTGTAGTTGTTTCGGTGTAGGGCTTAAATTAATAATTGCATCATTGAGTTTGTGCATTTTCTTGCAGTGTACAGAAACCTCTTGTTCTACGAGCTTTAGTTCTTCCTCAAAAACTGTGCGTAAGGTGAAAACTACTAAATTAAATTCCATTATTTTCCATGTTCTAGTCTCTGATTAGTTCTAGAACTCAACAATGTTCCCTCAAACACCAAAGCCTCACCTTAATACGTAATGTTACCTAATTGTGAAAATTTATAACAGTTTTGATTAAGTATTTAAATAACATGCTTATTGTCATTAGCCGATGCATAAACATAGTTAGGAAAAGATTAACATGCCTGTTTATTTGTGGTACAGTAGTTGTATCGTTGCACCAAATATACAGTATAGACATCTGGTGCTATCCTGTACTATTTGCACTTAACACATATGAGCCTTTATTATAAAGAAGTGAAAATAAAATAAATAAAATAGTTAAAAAGTTAAAATATAATAAAGAATAAAAACTCAATTCCTCATACAAAAAGATGAGAGAAAACAAGAATCTCAGCAATGCTTCATGAAAACCAAGCTCTTAAGAGTGAAAATCAGCTTGTTATATGGGAAAAATAGGCAGCAATTACTACATCTTGTATAAATGAAGACAGATCTCTTGCCGTAAGTGGTTTAGTATGAATTGCTACCATACTGAAAACCTCATGAGAAACAGAAAATGTGTTAATTTTTGCATTGTGTAACCTGCATAGATTTACATTCATTGATAAGAGATTTCCAGGAGAGTGCTGCTTGTCAGTTTGAGTTGCTACGCACTGGGATAGTATTTACAATCGGGCATTGCACATTAAACTCTAAGTTAGGCCGAAATTACCCGTCTTGCTATTTTTGTGATGTGATAATTTGTGATCTGTTTCTGTTAAAAGATTTAATAGTTTTAAATTTTACTGTAGATAATTATAAAGAAAGTAGTCATATTATGAAAGACTAGGTATTTCTGCTCTTAAAAAAAAGAACCTGTCAGTCTAAATAAGGAAATGGTTATTCACCTATTATGTATCTGGGGAGACATTTTTTCAACCTTGTGTACATACAGGTCTGTGCCGGACGTGTGAGATCTTCGGGGCCTCTGCACTGGTGCTGGACAGCCTCCACTATGTTAGTGACAAACACTTTCAGGCTCTCAGTGTGTCTGCAGAGCTCTGGTTCCCTTTGCTGGAGGTGAGTTCTGCTGCCTCTCCTGGCTCTTTTCTCCTGTCTCTTTACTAGAGTTGTGCTCATTTCAGTCACCTAGAATTTAGCCCTTGTTTATTCTGTGATTAATACCCAAGAAGTTGGTTAAGGTGCAGCACCATATTTTACCTTTTTGTATTCCGAATGGAAAAAAAACAGTTTAATTCAGGGAGTTCATCCAGGCGAGTGCTGATGCATAATAACAATCCATGTATTGCAGAACCAAATATTTGATTTTAATTGCTGTCAAAGATTCTGGAGCCAAAAAGGTGTTTTCTACAATCATTGTGAATTGTCTACTGTCTTCTCTGAGCAGGTGAAGCCCCCTCAGCTGGCTGACTATCTAGAGCAAAAGAAGACTGAAGGCTACAGTATAGTGGGCGTGGAACAGACCGCAAACAGTCAAAGTCTGGCTGACTACAAGTTCCCAGAAAAAACCCTGCTGCTCCTGGGGTGAGCACTTCCTTGTTTCTGATAGACCTGTGCCAGAACTATACAGACACCTTTTAAACAGATTCGGGAGATGCAGTCTTCGACTTCAACATTGATCTAAAACATATTTTTCAGAGTGCTAAGAGTGATAAATAGTAAATAGTTGTAAACATTTGTCAGTTTTCCAAAAATCTGGTTTTGCCTGACAACAGCTCTTGATTAGATCGATCTTTTATGGCTCCAATGAATACAGGGAGAGATGTAAGGACTGCGTCACACTTGGTTGTAGACAGCACTTAGGGAAATGCAGCTCAGGTCATGGTGCCCTTCCGTTTGTTAATTCAAATAATGAATGGACTCTTGAAGAAGACATTGATTGCAGGGGTGTTTGTTTGCCACATGCTGTTATCATAGGCCACAGTGACCTGCACTGTGCTGCTACTGTCTGTGGCTCCTCTGGTTATAATGCTGGCAGTTGCTTGTTTCAGAACTCCTCCCTTGTCTTTGAACCGATAATGCTCTTCCACACAAACAGTCCGTTACTTTCTTACCTCTTCCACCTCTTGCTGACAGATGCTTCTAATTTAAAACGGCCTCCAAGCTAGTGATACTCTTAAGTTTAATTAAGATAATTGCTTAAATCTTCCCACTACACCATGTGGATTTACAAACCTGCCCAGGCTTGCTTGTGCATTAATTTGTTTACAAACACTTATCATGTCCAGGATCATATCAGTATGGCACTTCACAGTACAGAATGAAGCATGCAATTACAGTCTTGTATTTGACCTTGTGAAATGGTATTTGTTAGTGTGTTTTGCAATCTGTAACCTGTGCACTGTTGTTGCAAGTGTAAAGGTTTAGGGTGCCTTGCCAAATAATACTTGATGGCTCTTCAGAACTTCAGGATTTGTTATATCCTAAAGGTCCTGTTAAATTTTTGCTAATGACTGGAGGTTCAACAGCTGCACAAAAGTATGAGGCAAAGCTTTTTAAAGGTCTAGTGAGTGAGATGATAAAGCTTAGATTCCTAGATAATGAACTCCACATATAATAATAATTCTCAAGTTACAGACATTAGGTATTTAAAGTAATGTGTGTTTTTGGATTTGGTACTGGTTAATAGGTAAAAAGGAAGGTAAGATAGAAAGATAAGGGAAAAAAAACTCAAATTGGAGTAATGTAATTAGTACTCCAGGGATCTGTATGTGGACCACAGCTCTTCTAATTTATATCAATCATCTAGGTTAAGGCTGAAGGAACGAGCTGCACTGACAGGCTAAAAGAGCTGAACATTTGTAGTCTTCAACAGAGAAAACTACAAGTGCACCTGATTAACAAATTCAGAATCCTCAAAGACATTGAACTAAACTGAACTTCAACATAATCTGCAATGAAACACAAACCAGAAAACAATTTGAAACTACATGGAAGGGCATATAAAACTGAGATCAGCAGGTGCATTGTTAAACAAACAGTTGTAGGAATATGGAACATGTTACCAAGCCCAATTGTTGAAGCCCGTACCCTGACTTTTTTCAATAAAAGGCTAGGTGAGATCCTTGGATTAAATTATTAATCAGCAACCAAAGGGCATGGGCCAAGCAGTCTTCTTTCATTTGTAATCCTTTTTCCTATTATTATTCCTATATTGGTATTCAATAGCACAAAAGTGTGCAGTTAGAGCAAATGTACAGATAGGTTGGGTTATATATGTGTGCACATATGATTGCAATTATAGACAATACTTTGCAATATGTTTTATCTCTTCTGCTTTAAATCTACCAGAAATTAAAATTCATTTAATGTAGCATCCTCGTCAACCTTTAATTGATGCCATTGCACAGAGTTTGATCTTGAATGGACATAAAAAAAGACAGCAGTTTTACTGCTGCAGAGATCTTCCGCTGCCACAGGGTGATAATGGCATGAATAAGCAAACTAGATCTACAGCTGATGGGATGTAACCATATGGTGTTGTAAAGAAGAAATTATCTGGTATGTTGCATTGAATGAATGGCACATATGATTGTAGAACAGTCAAAGCAAACACTGTTTCTGCTGTCAGGACCAGATGGAACATTTATCATCAGTATGTACTTCCCCTATTGGTTCCAGCCTATTGTGCAGTGCAGATATAACTGAAGCTCTGGCTCTTTCATATCTGAGTTGGCTGGTGTTCAGCTGTGGGTCGTATGACTTAAGGGCTGAGTGTTGCCAATATAACAGATTTCCTGGGTTTTTTATTTATGTAGTTTACAGACTACATTGTTCTATTAAAGTAATATACCATAATGTTATTTCTGGTTAACTCAACACGGTGGGTAGAGCTGAGCATTTTCATATAAATCTAACTGCATTTTTAGAATTGTGGTAATCTCTTACTTATGCGTAACGTAAAATAACAAATTTTGTAACAAATTACGTTTAACCGTTCAATGCTTTTGCATTTGATTTGGAGTACATTGTTGCTATGGCTTGGATCCAAAATGACAGAAGCCTTCCGCCGATGAGGTTTGTTTGCTAGTTCCCATTTAATTCCCACAAAGCAGTAAACTAGTATGGCCCTATAAATATTAAGAAAATAAAATGTCTTGAGTCGCGGGGCCTGTCAGAGGCCGTGCAGAACAGATCCCGCCTCTCTGTGGAAAGATGTTCCTCTACAATTGAAAGTGATGTATTTCATATGATATCGACCATGCTGTGCTGACGGGTTTTAATCTCTTTGTCGGTTTGAACTTTCCTCCAACAGAAATGAACGGGAGGGTATCCCGGCAAACCTCCTGCAGTTGCTGGATGTGTGTGTAGAGATCCCCCAGTTTGGCGTGACCCGCTCGCTCAATGTGCATGTGAGTGGGGCTCTGCTGGTGTGGGAGTATACCCGCCAGCACATGGGGGACCCTTAGAGATCTGCTGGGGTGATTGTCCTCAGGGATCTACAGTCCTGGACACAAGTGCTACTGTTCTACCAAAGAGAGCTCCTTTTAAAAAAAAAAACAGTCTGAACCTGAAAATGGGTTAACAGAAAAGCTGGATTTTAAACAAACCTTGGAAGAGATCATTTGTTATTTGAACTCATTTTAAGGGGGCCCCACCTTTGCCCCTATTGGAATTGAAAGTATATTAATGCTGGTTTTGTAGTCATAAGAATTTCATGGGAACTTCAATGAACTGTTTTATTCTTAAACCACATGAGTGAATGTGGTTGATGGTTTGATATTTGTAATAAGATTTAGTATTTTTAAATTGTTTTAATGTTATACTCAATAAATGTTATAGAAGATTTTAAATCAATCATCAAAACATTGGGTAAGGAATGTGCAAAAAGTCACTGACCTCTTCCTGCAGACTGAATCATCGGCGTGTTCAGGCAGCTAATGTCAGACATGGCAACGATCAAGAAACTATTTAAAGAAATGTTCATTCTTGTCTCAAATAATAAACTGCATTGATCTACCTTGTCTAGGGCAGTTTTGTTTAGTAAACATGTCATGTGTCTACAGTGTGTCTGATGGGGGCAATCACATCTGGGGAGATTATTGAAGGTTCAGAATAACAATGCTATTTCAGCTAAACTGTGGGGAAAAAACAAATGACCAAATCGGGAATGACTGGTGTCGGATGGAGTGGGTTGAGGTGTTGACTCCACTGCGCTCAGCTCTGCCCTCAGAGATCTCTGATATGGAGAGTGAGTTTGGTGTCATGAGGTGTTTAACGACGCCGAAGAGACCTGTGTGGCCTCAGGAACTGACGTCGGCAGAAAATGGCAGCGTTCATTCTGGGAAATATCCCTAGAGCTTTTCCAACATGTGGAGTGTAAAATTGAGTTGGATAGTTGAAATGTAACAGCTGATGCTGTGATAAAGCAAAATGTACCATAACATGCTGGCAACAGAGAAAAGGCAGAACTGAAATACATCTTTTAATTGGTCTCGTTTGTTTACATCCTTTGAGTTAGATGTGTACCTCACCAGTACTAATAATAGTATTACAGTGATATTGTCACCTAGCATGAAGTAGTCTACCACTATTCTATGTCTCCTGTACCAGTACAACAAAACTCAGCTTACAGAAGTTACATTATCAGACTGAGACCAAAGTCAGCAAGGAACTGCGTTGTGCCAGGTACTGTAGTGGTTTGTAGAAGGTTTCATAAGAGGACAAGGGGATCTAGCTGTGTAAGCCTTTTCATTTATAAAATGCCAGTAGAGCCATATTGCCCTGTATTGTAGCTCACAACTGACAACCCACTGAAGCGCAGCAGCTGCGATCCTGGCCAGTACCTGGATAAGAGCCCTCCTGGGAAAGCTAAGCTTGCTGCTGGAAGTGGTATTAGTGGGACCAGTTGGGAGTGCTCACCCTGTGGTCTGTGTGGGTTCTAATGCTCCAGTATAGTGATAGGGACACTATTTTGTAAAGAAGGTGCTATCTTTTGGGTAAGACATAAAACAGGTCCTAACCCTCTGTAGTCATTAAAAATCCCAGGGTGTTCTTCAAAAAGTTTCTTGTGATGGTTTTAACCCAGGAATCCTTGCCAAATTTCCCCTTGGCCTTTACCATCATGGCCTCCTAATTCCATCTATGAATTGGCTCATTAGTCTGTTCTATTCCCCACTGACAGCTGGTGTGTGGTGAGCGTACTGGTGCACTTTGGCTGCCAGGAAATACTTTAATATTATAAACTAATGCAGAAGCATACCTGTAAAAACACTTGGCAACATAAAAAGGTGCAAGAAAGCAGTAAACCTAAAACAGTACTGTATTAAAAAGAAATTTGAATTCACCTGCTTTGTATGATTGCAATGCGATAGGATTGTACAAACAAAACAGAAAAACGTTCTTTCAAAGTAAATCATGGTTTTCTCCTAAGAAGGAACAGGCGTCACTGGTAAGAGAGTAACATAGAAGAAAGCTTTAAAATACCACTCAAAAGGTCAATAAGTTTATAGAAATTGTTTTTTTTTCTTGTTTTTCCTTCAGCACCCACTGAATGCAACCAGAGAATGGCGCAAAAGCAGACAATTGCATGGAAAACTAATATTAATGAAACATAAGAGAGCGTTATTCTACAGTACCATTTGTCTACTATTTATTTTTTATTTTTGCCGAGAGAAAAAAAAAAAGTTGTTTGATTTTCCACACCGTCAGCCAGTCGAATATGCCCCTGCCTCGCAGGGTGCCGCGGCCCCGCCCGTTTCGTGTGGGGAGCGAGAGCGCAGGTGAGGAGCTGGTGAGCTGAGCCGGTGAGACGCGCATGGCTCGGAGGACGTCTCCCGTCTGGACTCCCCGTTTACTTGAGCTTTAATAACCGAATATTTAGGTTTCAGTCTCGCGAACGGAAGATTGGATAATCTAGGGTCCGTGAGATTGCTGGTATCGGCTGTACTTTTTTCTTCTGGTGTTCGCCATGCTGTCAAGTCTGAAACACTTTCAGGACTTCATGCCCGGGTCTGGTATCCAGTCGATTGCCAAGGCAGACCTAATTTCGCTGCTTCTGGATTAAGCTCCAGTTAGGCTGCTGACCTAACGGTAACGTTAAAATGGACATTCCGACTAAATGGCCTTCTAGTGAGTCCCTGGATTACAACGGTGACCCGTTTATTGCCGGCGGTTTCAGAGCCGTAAACTTTAGTTCTTCGGAGGTCAGGCTGAACATCTCTGCGCGCACCAGGCTGCTCCTGGAGGTTTTGATAGTGCTGATGGCTTTGGGCGCAGTGGCAGGTCAGACGTCGCATCTCGGACGGCACAGCAGGCGGCTTTTTTATAGATTTACTGTAGAATTCGGCATCCTAATGCCAAAGTCAGAGCACGAAGACACGGGAAAAAGCATGTTACCTTCCCGTTGGAGCAGTTACATGATGCATATTTCGGGTTTTGGTGTATTGCATGTCTCAGACATTTTCAACCTTTTTATTAAAACCTGTGAATTATTTGTCATCAAAACGTGAGTAACGTCATAAGAAAATACATGGATCATCCGGCTGCAATGTTTATCTAAAGCTGGGTTTTATTATGTATGACTTGCACCTAATGATGCAATAATGCAACAGACCTAATTAGCCCACCGTATGCTCAGATCTTTTGAGTTAACATTCAGACACTAACACTGAAGTGCCCCAGGACTGGAGTTGCACTCTAAATTGAATTTATGTTCTTGATTGTTTAAAATCAGATTCCGTATTGAAGTGGTGACCAGTCAATATGTTTTGGGGGAAGATATTTTATTTTGTGCTGTAGTGTATGTAGTTTCACTCTTTTCATTTGCCTATGTGTCAGTTAAGTTTAGCTTAAAGTTTAGTTAAAACCTAAAAGGGTAAAATCAGCTTTTTTTATTAACTGTAGGCGTCTGTCAAGCGTTAATATTTCCTGTAGGTTAAGCACAATGCGAATGAATTTCAGCGCAGTGTAACGGAGGTTCTGTTTCGGCCTGGCAGGTAATATTCTGGTGATCGTGATCGTGGCCGCGACCAAGACGTTCCACTCGGTGACGTCAGTGCTGATCATTAACCTGGCCATCAGCGACTTTCTGGTGGGCATCGGGGTCATGCCCTTCGTTGCCATCTCGGTTATGTACGATGGATGGGTGGATTGCACAGTGAGCTTTTATTATTTTTATTGTCAGAAAAGAGCATTTATTCAGGTCTTGCAACGCCGTTGTCTATTCTTTCTAATCCTATAGAAATTTATGCTCAAAACCTGTAATTTTACATTAAATATGTATTCATTTACCCTCTGTATGAATTAAAGAAGAAACCCTCCTGTCCCTGTCTTTGTCAACATCCTTCTCCCTCTGCTCACTAGTTCCTTTGTATTTTAGCTGCTGTGTGGTTAATTTCAATCTTCAAACTTTAAAGACATGTGAATTGGTAATATTGTGTGTCTATTTTTCTTCTTTAAATCCTAACAAGATTAGATTAACTTTTAGAGGCTGGCATATTTGGTAAAATATTCAGTTTTGCTTTGACATGAAATGAGTTTTGAATTAATTTACATGTCAGTGGTCAATGACATGTTTTATATGGGTTGAACACAACCTCTCAGAGAGAAATCCAAATATTGATAATCCTCACAATTTTAAACATAAATTTAGCATTAAACATGTCTTAAAGAATGCACACAAACATTTTAAGAGGCATTTGATTTTAAAAAATATTCATAATTATAAAATGCTCTGTTATTTTAATTTCTCCATTGCTTCAAGTATGAACTCAGACATTCAGGTGAGTTTGTTTATGTTTGGAATATAGGGTTTATAAGACCCTCTCAGTGCTATTTTCACTTCTTCTCTTGCAGGATTTATGCCTCTATGTTGGTTACACATCCTCTGTGTATTGTACAGCCTCAGTATTGACACTGGCTGCGATTGCTTTGGACCGATATTACGCCATCATAGACTGCCTGCACTACAGCTCTCAGAGCACAGTATGGAGGACGGTGGCTGCTGTCATCTGGATTTGGCTCCAGGCGGCTGTCACTAGCTGCCCCCCATTACTGGGGTGGAGTCATTTGGACTATATCGCTCCAATGTACAGCTGTGCAGTGGACTGGTCCAGGAGCCCAAGCTACACTGGGTTCGTGGCCGCCTTCTCCTTCATGCTTCCTGCCTGCATTATGGTCTTCTGTTATGTTAAGATTGTGAAAGTGGCCAGGGGTCACGCACGGAGGATCCACGACCTGGAAGATCACCTGCAGAGAAACAGACCACATCCCGCTGAGCAGGAGGAGAAGCCCACCTTTTCCAGGCTGATTTATTGCATCAGCGGGAAGATACTCCCAGAGACCCACCGGGACGAGACCCTCAGCTCCCCATACCCCTCCTGCAGTTCCTCCAGCACAGGGAGGTTGCACAATCTCTTGACTAGGCATGGCTTCCACAGCAAGGAGCACCATGGCGTTTTCCGTCTCTTTCTGGTCATCTTTGCCTTCTTCTGCTGCTGGATGCCATACATCATTGTGGCACTGGTGCAGGCCATCGAGACTGCTACTTCTCACCAGTCCACCCACATCCCCAACAACGTCATCACCTTTGCCTACTGGCTGGCTCTGCTGAACTCTGACATCAACCCGCTGCTCTATGCTCTACTGAGCAAGAGGTTTCAGAAGGCACTAAAGAGCCTGCGCCACAAACTGCATGCCAGGGTTAGCCAGCAGGTGTGCAACCCCCAGACATGCACAGAGCACAGCCCACAGTGCCCCCGTAATACAGCTGCCTCCAGCATTAACTCTGTGTGTCCAGAAAGGGCCTTCAATTCCTCACTTTTCTCCCTGGACTCTTGCACACCAGAAGGCTACAAGAAGGAACAAGTATCTAGGAGGAACAACCTCCTGCCCGGACATCTTTCCTCCGCTGTGAAGCTGGAAAGGACCAAAGAGTGTGTCTGTGTGAAGCCAGAGGGGCAGGGGCTGGATACACAGCACTTGCAGGTGCCCTCTGCCCCTGTAGAGAGCGATAAGCCAAGTAGGCCATCTTCACCCTCTGACAGACAGGTGACCTTCTTTTATGGTAAGATAACAGTTAAAGTGGAGCATGATGTGCAATGACTACCACGGGATCTGTTGCATCAGTCTTAGCTGTGGGACTTCACTATGCAGTGTGAAAGAGCAGTGTCTGCCATAACCTTGGGCTACTTCAGTCTTTGAAGTAAAAACAAAGAAATTCATGCAACTCTCATACCTAGGTTAATCATGCTGTAGTATTGCGCAGATCCTATATTTTGTTATTGTGAGTTCTCATGCTACTTTATGGTACTATAGTATAAACCTACTGAATGTCAAACAAAGACAGTGAATGGCATTGTCACCCTCTTGGATAACCCTGATTCAACATCTTTTCATAAACACTTGCTTTAACCGTCCAATGATCAAAAGTTAAACAGAACAGAGAATTTTCATAACACGTCATGGTCATCAGCTTAAAGTACATCCTGGCAGGATACACATGGAAGTCACCAAATCCATTAGAAACATCAAGGAATCATCCCTCTGACTTGAGAACAGACCACTGTTTCCAATGTCACAGATGGACCTCATATCACCTGCATCAGTTCAAAAGTGAAAAGGACACTATTAGAAAATTATTTTTTTTGTTAAGATTTATTGTATTTATCACTTTATTTACAGTCGTTTGATAAAATTTGCAGTGAAGGTATAGAAAAATAAAATGTACAAAGTATATTTGTGATTAAGGTAACAAAGCTCTGATTCAATGAGATCTTGCAGACAGTACAACGGCACTTTGATATCGACCTCATGAAAATGGTCTCTCTTAGCCTGGAAATTCTCCTGTGACTGCCTGCGAGCCACAAGCCTGATTCACACACCCATGCACTCCTCCAGGCTGCTAGCACCATTTGTTAACAGATTGTTTTAAAGTCACATGAAACATCTACACTAATATAAGGACAATATGTATCTCTCAGATTTGTGATTTCTGTCGTCTTAAGACAAACAATCACAACACCTGGGGAGAAGCAGGATGTGTGAACCCCCTAACACTCTTACAGGCTCTTTCCAAAAGTGATTTCTACATCTTTTAAATGTCAATGGATTGGAACCTGAAAAAATGTTAATGCACTGAATCCACTGTAAAACATTCCATTTAACCTCATCAGCCACTCTTCCTGAGCTGTCTTCTATATCCTCTGTAAACTGCTGTCAGAAAACCTCTTCATCTCAACTATTGCTTTGGTTTCTACCCCTGGTGCCAAATTCTCATACCCTTCATAGGCATGAGCCTACAATGTAACAAACAATATGTATATGCAAATGTTTAAGGCCAATACATCAGTTAAAATAAGAAATCTAAAGAAATGCCCATTAAGTTCAGTGCAAACAATTACATATTCCTACTCACAATAAAGACACGGGGTGTGACTGACTTTATTTAAGTACCCTTCAGTAGCTGAGCTTTCTCTCTTCTGCTCTCTCAAGTAAAAATATTGTTGAATAAAAAAAATGTATATAACACCTTTAAACACAATCAGATCACAGTGCTTGAGCTGTCCCCCGGACAAATTAGCTTTGCAATAACCGACCTGATCTTGCACACTTTTATGGAACATTCAAAGAGGGCCTTTCTAAAGGATGAATTATTTAAATGTTATACAGTCTCTGCTCACATTTCTCTTGTGCAGCATAGACTCCATGTAAACTCACAGAAAGATGTTACAATATAACACACAACTGTATGTTTTAAAGGGTGCATTATTTTAAATACTTCTTAATACTTTCTGTGCTTGGGGTAGCAAGATCGTTAGCTGTCTTTGTGGATCGAAATGATTACAAGATTTATTGCACAACTATATTGTTTTGCTTTTATTCTGTGTACGAAATTAAATATGCAAGCATTTTGTTTTCAAAAACTAAGACACATAAATGGCATTTTCAAGATCTTCACTGACAAATCGACACTATTATTTTATTAAAACATTCAATAGAAAACCCACAAGTTCTTCCATTAAAATTCCTGACATAAATATGTACATATGGTAATGTCTGAAAATGCCATTATTAAGCTAATTCCCTTATCCAAACCCTTAATTAAATGTGATGAAGTTATGTTGCATTTCAGTGTATAAATCATTCCTTACAAAGGTTTACTGTTACTTCTAGCAATAATTCCAGAGGAATACAATATAATAATTTATTGTCATTATAAAATGACAATGGGAAACAGTGTTAGATGTATTTTTGTACAAGGCAGTGAAAGTAATTACTTAAGCTCAGTGTTTGTTTTGTTTTACATGTTCTTCAAGCGTAGAGACTAAGAGCTGACACAATCACTCACTGGCAGTAAACAAATCACTAAGTGTCTCTAAATTTACTTTAGTGTCCATTATTGAAACACTGTCAGGCGGACAACTGCAATTGCCGTAAATAAACTTCATGTGTATCTTCCAGAAGAAAGCAGATGTGCATTTTTAGTAAGAAAAATACATTCAACTCATTGCAAACAAATAGAACACTATTGCTCTTTATGAAACATGGAGGAGTAAGACGCAAGGTGCTCATGTACACTTACCTTTACAGTTCTCTTTACAGTCACAGCAATAATCAGCAACACTTGCAGTTTGAATCATCACAGTATAAAATGCAAAAGATTTAAAAATATTACTGATGCAAATTCTTCCTTTCTGGCACCACAAAATCTTATATATGTGGAATGTTTTACGGGGTGTAAAAATAACCTTGTCACAGTAAGGTGGATCTATATTGCTTTTAAAATCACAGCATCTACTGAGGAACTGTTGGATTGTGAAAGATTTCAGCAGCTAACTTTCTGTCAGTATAATCAGTCTTTTTACAAAAAAGTATAGTCAATGGATATTTATGGAAATGAAAGCTCAGTGTTGCTAAGACAATGCTCATGATTTAGTTGATTATGAGACAGTAAATCTTAATGTCTGAATACCAATTAATCTATATAAGTGGACAAATCTACAAAAGTGTTCACTGAGGTAACAGTGAAAGTTTAGACTTTAAGTTTTGACAAATGTAGAGGATCCACTGAGACAACAGTGTGGCTCAGGGAAGTTTTACATATAAACCAGAGACTGTGTTGTTAATTTATAGTGTCTTGCCGTCCGGTTGCTCATTCGGTCAATCTTACTCAGTCTGAACTTTAGAAATTCCCTCCCTACAATTGTGGACACTTTGAAACTTCCCTATACTACATCTTCAGAAATTTGGGAAAGCAACCTGTTGTCTCTTCAAGTGAACACCCCAGTTTCCCTGCAGAATAACCTTGGTTTAAAAATCCTGAAGCCTTCCCAGCCTCACCACCAACAGCTCAGAACACACCTACCAGAGAGCTCCTGCCTCACTAGGAAGCAAACCGACTCCTTGGAGAGTAAGTGGTAACTGACTCTTGAACTGTACAGTCCACTTCACAATAATCATAACCAATCAACACCAGCTATGTGGAATCCCCTTTTACTCCAGTTATAATCCCTGTGTGAATGTGGGCCTTTAATTTTCCTTAATGCTTTATTTATATCCTAAAATTTCGTAATCATCTAACACTCTTATGTCATCCCCTGACAGCCTTTCAAACTCTTCCGTTGACAAGTCAGAAAATTTCAAGCACTGTTCTATTTAAGCAGGTTGGTGTTTTTCTGAATATTAAAATTACATGTGAAAGATGGTGCAAAGAGCACATTATATTAGATCGGTAAAGCACATCGATTCCATCTTTCACAAGCATACCTGAGCAGTGACCTACTTGTCAACATCTGAAAAACCTCTCACCATGTAAAGTATCTAGTTTTCCCTCATTGGTAATACTGTCAAGAACAAACAGGTACAATCCAGGCTGTGAAAAACCACTAACAAGGCCCTGAAAGGGACTGAATTTTAGCCTTCAGCTGAGTGACCTGTTTCGTTTTTAAAAAACAGATAACAAAGACATAATGTGTGACGATGTGTGACATAATGTTATGTCATTAATTATGTGACCATTCCATTCACGTGCCTAGTGAAAGTCTTTAACTTTCAATATCAAAATTTACCCTCCACCATCACCCTAAGGAAACAAACAAGTCTTAAACAAGTCTCTTTGGATTTGGAAAACAGTTAACTCTGTTTATCCTAATGATGAATGGGGTTTGAAAATCAATTAGTTTGGTCTGCATATACCCCTATTTATAAGATATAAATAACAAATCTCCACCTCAGTACTTTCTCTATCCTAGTTGTCAAAATGCAAAACAGATTTTTGCATGTTTTCTTATGCAGCAGTTCCATTCTCACCCTGTATTCCAGCCTTCAGTTGTAAAAATGCATTACTGCCATTGCCCCAGAAAAGGCTCAGTGATACGATGATAAAAAAAAATCAGACAACAGGAGATCATGCATCAATCTGTACACTTCCAGATAGGATATATATACAGCTTATATAGAGCTTATGTAAAAAATAATGGGGAAAAAACTTTACAAAGATTTACAACACAACAGCTGTGCTTTTTTTTCACCTTGTTTTGGTAGGACAAAGCTTTTGGGCACAGAACAGACCGAGTCACCGTTGGGGGAGTGGCGGGGGTGATCAGTGAGCGAAGGTGGACATGGAGGTCCTGCCTCTCCGGCTCCAGCCGAGGCCTGGCCCCGCCTCCGCCCCGCCCTCGGCTGGCTCCTCCTTCTTGCGTGTGCGGAGCCGGGCCAGCAGCTGGATCACGCACTGGTCCCACTCCTCGGGCAGCAGCAGCAGCAGGAAGCCCAGGCAGATGATGAGCACGGCAATGACGCGCACCGAGTTGAAGCTGATCTCGCTGGTGTAATGGTCCACAACTGCAACACAGCAGGCCAGCAGCACTCAGAAGGGGGGCAAAGTGTCCCAGACACCAGCACAGAAGGGAGAAGCCCGCAATGAGAGAGCCTCAACACTTGGAGGAACCACTGGATGCAAAGGTGCAGTTTCAAAAACACAAGTTCTCCTGTTGCTGCCTCTCATCTGCACTGTTTTATGAATCCAAAGCTCATCTTTACATTTTTACTTTAATTCTTTAGTTTATGCCATTTAACTATGTTTTCTACTCCTCTGTGTACAAAGAAATCCTAGCCTTCAGTATGCAGCAAACACATTTATTTTCATAATACAGCATATCGGTCAAATGTTTACTAGGTGCTGGCAGCAGCATTGGAAACGATTAGTTTTTGCTCTGTTGTACTCCAAGAGAAACCAAATTGCTTACTTACCAGCATTAACAGGAACACTTAAGACAATCCCAAATGAAATGAGTGTGGGGTAGGTAATAGCTATGCCAAAGTTCACTAGCATGTTGAAAGCTGCAACAAAAATATAAAAACAGATGTGGTTGATACACACAAACTAATTTAACAGAAGACACTTAGAAAACAAAACCAATGTAGTACCGCCATTTTCCAGATTTCTTTAGAATGAAATATATTTTGTTTATAAACAATATACTCAAATGCATAATTTAGCTTAACATACAATGTAACGCCCACTGAGCTTTGACTAATGCTTCTCACTGTAGTCAGTTTGCAAATTCTATATGATTGAAATTTTGTTTCAGTGACAGACCGAGTTTTCATTAAATTCACACTTACTGAGCCTTTGGTTATAGGGCTGATATGGTTGACTTACTTTTTCCACCTTCTACAATGGCTCAAATGTGCCACTGGTGAAATTGTAACACTGAAAAATATTTTCAAACCGAATAAAAGGATTACTAATTTTTAACTAGACAACTATGCTTTACTTTTGCTAAGAAGCTATGGCCTCCTGACACAAACATGACTTCACTTGACAAGGAGGCTATTACAGGTTTGAAAACATGTGTATTAAGGAAAGGAGATAAATAGCAATTCAGATAAAAAATGAATCTATGCTGATCTGCAAAATTTGGGTGGACTCTGCTTAAACCTGACACTAATGACGATATCTGGTGGAGCAGGTGCATCACATATCACAGGCCATCAAAATAAATAAGCTGTATTTTCTAGGAAGGTTGTGTCAGCAATTACTGTAGTTGGAATCTGAGTGAAAGGAACTGTGCACAGTACTCTTACTTAGTAAAAGGACAGCCACTCCACACAGACAGCCCCAGGGAAGTTCCTCCAGGGAGTCAAAGTATTCCACTTTGGTGAAGTACAGGATGACAGGGATGAAGCTGATGAACACAAAGTTAGCTCCTCCCAGGATTGTGAGGAATAAGGCTGCTTCTCCGAACTTGGCACTGCCGAGAATGAGCTTGAACAACACCTACGGGACAAGAGTTTGGTTGGAAACAGACTGCCGAGATACTCAGGACTTCTCAGTCAATCTACTGTTGGTATCTGCTGCCTTTCATGATCCAGGTTCTTTTTTTGTTCTGGAATTGATCCATCTGTCAGTCTGACGAACAGTTTAGGGATTACCAGAGCACATAAAACTGTATTTTTTTACACAAATATTGATGCATATAGCAATCCTAATAGACCCCTTTTGCTAATATCCTTTCACAAAATAAATCTACAGTAGGATATGGAAATGGGAACACTGCTAGAATTGGGCCGTGAACTGGGTTTTGAGTATACTTGCCTTATACAAAGCAGACATGGATGCAGACGACACCACCAGTGCAATTCCAATAACAGAATGGCTGTGAAATCCATCAGCATAGGTCATCATTACTATACCAGCTATAGCGAGAATTGCTGCCACAATCTGGTCAGAAAGAAGAATATGATCAAATTCCAATCTGCAGATGCTCTGCAAACAGTTAACATCCAGCTTAACTCATAACTAGTAACGTTCCAGTCTAGCATAAACAATGTCAGTAGAGCTGACTTGGTGTTGATATCAGGAAATATCATTACTACCACTATAATATTCCATAAATGTGTTTATTGGTTTTGCTTCTGGACAACATCTTATATAATACCATAACCACATCATACAGTAATGCAATGATAGTGTTGTCACACATAGTAGGCTCAGAAGTACTCTAGCTGCACAGCTTCTGTATGGAATGACAATTTCTGTTTGTCCATCTGTCAAACTGGTTAAAGGTAAAGATAGAAGTGAGATAAAGCACTGGAGGGGAAGCAGTATTGCATGTGAGCTATTCAGGCCACCAGCAATCTTGTTTTCAATGTACATTGAGAGACACTCTAAAATGGAAAAAATGCAGGAATCAAAAACTTAATTAGGAGTAATCCTAGTTGGGTGCATCTGAACAGATGCTTAACCAGAGAAATATATTTTATTCCTTTTCCACATAGGCTTGGAAGCAAGCTATGTTTCTGTATACTCCCTATATACACCAGTATAATTTACTATACCTTGCAATGGATGTATTAAATTTATTTATTAACTTCAACAAGCAATGCTGGTCTTTATCAGTTACAAACATTCTTTCCAGCTTAGGACAACATCCTCATTGCTACATAAAGCAAAGGAAGTGAGTAAACGGAAATGACTCGATGATGAATGGGTACCGGCCTGACTGTATTTTACATTAGACGAGGATTAGAAGGTATTTTGAAGATAAATGGCCTGCATTCTCTGCTCTTGGGAGCACTGAGGGGTTGGTGATCAAAATAATGCCTCTGTTGTAAGAAACCAGATGTTTCTTTGAACGTCTTTTTCTTTTGGGCATCACATCATTCCTTCATTAACTCATTCACATTCAAAGGGAGACTTCTACAGTTAAGCTTTTATCAAGCACTCAATATGCTTGTTTTGTTCACCATGAATTAAATACAGTATTGCTCAATCCTTTAAGGCCATTTGCTGTTACACAGATTTGCAGTACTGTGGATTCATGAAGAAGAGTTAATAATACGGTCAGATATCAAGTGAAAGCACTTATACTGTACTTGAAGCAGCTATTATTGTAGGAAACCATATCCAATGCCCACACAGGCTTAAAAAATTACAAGCACTCCTCTTTGATGCTTATAAACAGAGGAACAAATGAGAGACTCTTTCATCACATGGGCTGCACTATAGTGTATTTTATGGAGGATCATAGCAGCAGGTCTATACCACAGTGATGAAGGGTCCAGTTCTACTCCCCATTAAAAAAAAAAAATTATACTGGAAAACAGGTGCTCATGGACTATGCCTTCTCTTAAAGTCACACAGTTAAGCTATTTTAACAAATAAATTATGATAAATATGATATAACACCAAAATGGTTGTAGCACCAATCTCAGCACTGTGTTTCAGGGCTGTACAGAGCAAGTGCAATCCCATCTACAGGAGTGTTTAGACAGTGGTTAAAGACACAGAGCTTGCAGAGCTCCCTGGATTAACTTACTCGCACTCCCATGAAGCGATCTCGCAGAACAATCCATGACAGCAAGAACACAAATGCCTTGTTGCAGCAGAACAGTGCAGAGACATCCGTTGTGTTTATTCTCCTCAGTGCTTGTAAGTACAGATAGTTTGTTAATGTCCATAGAAGGCCAAAAGGGGCTACCTTGGTGAAGAACACCTTCGCTGTCAAGCCATCATCCCCAAAAAACCTGCAGCATTCTCTGGGAAAAACAGAAGCAAAAAAGCCAGTGATAGAAAATGATGCAGCAGTTACTGAAAAGGGGGCCAGACACTTTAGTTAGGTACTGTAGGTGGTTCCATATTTGACCAACAGGGGCCTGAATTTATCCTGGTTTCTATGGCACTAAGCGAAAAGAGAGTATGTGACTCCCCTCTGGATGGGGTACCTGTCCACCACAGGAATTAGCCCAGGAAAAAACTTGTCCCTGTAACTACAGCTTTAGTCGACTGGAGCAACTGGGATACAGAACTTTGCTCAAGGTATAATAGCAGCAGGGACAGCAGGGACATTAATCTACAACCCACCATTAATTACGCAGCCCCCTGAGACATGGTAACACCCAAAGAATAATGTATTTTTCACATTTACTGTTTTGTGGAGAACAATTACATGTATACATCCATAAAGCATTTGTAAAATGATTTTAATATGCTGAAGATAACCAATGAACTCCAACATGTGAAACTAAGCATTTTGTCCAATCCATGCTCAACAGTTGATATTAAGTAAAAATGATATCTTCCGCAAAGAGCTCAGCTATAACCTCAGCAACCTAGAAGGTGTTCCTTGTAAAATGTGCATGCCTATTTTACTAATCAAAGTTAGCTATATCACACTAATTAACAACAAAAAGGGCAAAGAAGCTGTTTGTGACTGATGTCTCTTTCGTCTTATATTGTTAGTTGGAATTAAAAGTCTGTTAATGTGGTCTTCCTTTTTAGTATTATAAAATGACTAAATTGATCATGGGTAATTTATAGTCTCCTTCCCATAATTCATAGCAATTGCCTTTTTTTAAAATAGATATTGCTATTTATACAGTATATAACAAATATAAATCCCCCATAACAGTTACTTGTATTCTGGCCTTAAATAAACAACATAAAAACCATTAGATTAAAAGGTCTGTAATGGTTTCAGTGGCTGAAGTTGATCATATTGAAAGTCTCTGCCACACTTCAATTTGTTTACTGGATCGATGCTTTCTTCTTCTAATTACATATACACACGGTACAGAAATCATTTTGTTGGCTGCATACCTCTTTCTCCCACATAATAATGTTTGAACTTTTCAACAACTTGAGTATTCACATACTGAAAAATAAACCAAGAACATATTCCATTGAATTCTTACATTAGTGTACTATAAGCAAACAGTAATCTCCCAGAACATACTCTTCCAATATTTTCAGGGACCTGGTTGCCTGCCTAGAATTGCCCAGAAAGGTATAACCTGCTTTTCTGATCTCACACGTCAGCTCCTCTTTTCAGTAGCAGTCTGAAGATTTCATTGAGAGTCCAGTATAATATCTGTCTTTAATGATTATTAATCAAAAACACTCTTTCTTTTCATAGCAGCATAGTTTGCTCAAAGGCACAAACACACTTTTAATGTGTCACGTTGTTTAGTTTTTCTTAAGCTGAGACAGCAAAATAAAAAATCCATAATGAACACATAGTGATGTCATATTGTGAATAATCTGATAAGTGATTCGTTATAAGTGGCCTGCCAATTTGTGACCTCTCAGGATCAATCCTATCTTAGTACTCCAGATGGCCTGCCTCTGCTCCTATCTTTTCACCACTCAGACTCCAATTCTCTGATCACAGTCCGAACATTGTCTCCCACAATACCAAAACAGAGAACATATGCATCTTCCAGATTACAGAAGAGGCAGTTATTTCAGTAAATGAGATATCCCGAACGTTTCAGCCACTCATTTCCCCAGCCACTGAGGATATCTCCTTGTTTGGAAAATCTCCAGAGCAAAGTGGGGGGGGTGGCCTTGGGATTCCCATCCATATTCCCATAATGAGAGGACGTGTTGCCAATACTCAATCCCAGCGATCTGTGTCCTGAGACAGCTGGCAGCCTCCCAGAGCACTTGATTAAACCAAAATGCCCTCTGCTAACAAATCGTGACCAGATCTCATTTGGAATCTTACTGTTATTCTTTCTGATGTTTCCAGCCAGTCCATTTCCTCAGGATCTGCCAACCTTCAGCTTCCCACAGTGCAGGCACTACATCCTGACTAGGACTGCAGTGCTGCACTGCTGCAGAACTCACTAGCTACAGTCTTCACCCCTGACGTTACAGTTAAGTAGACATCAGCAGCATTTTATTATAGTTTAGCCCAAATCCTGTATCAACTGCATTGTTATTTTCACACTCAGCCTACATTTAACTCCTAAAGGGTGAAGGAAGTTAGATATCAATAGGAACAAAATGTATTAGCGTACCACAAGTCCTCTAGCTCATCTCTTTGGTCTAATTGACAGAACTGTGATAGTTCCTCAGTGCCAATTAGCTCCATTAGAAAGTCAAATATTTTAAATGGCTATTATAATGTTTGAATTATTTTTGTCCCGATCAAGCAGTTTTTGTAAAACATCCAAGACTTTCTGTAAGTGTTCCTAAAGTCTGTTTCAGGAAGATAAAAATCAACTACAGCTTTCCACACATAAAATACACACAATCTCAAAGGCTTAAGCTAAGTGACTTACTGAGACATGAAGGCAGGTGAATTCTGTTGGCCAGGTTTATAGTTTTAAAATGTGCCATATTTTCAGGACCTAAATATAAACCAAAAGAAAACCTAGGCAAATTATTTTTTCAGAAGAGAAACTATTTTATTATTACTATATTTGTTATTGAATAAAGCAGACCTAAACAAAATTAAGAGCATTTTAACCTGAATAAGATAAAACAAACTGTTAAAGTTAAAAAATAACCTCATTACAGGTACTGTATTGTCCATTCATAAAATACTCACTATATTTTCTAACCTACTATATTTTTGCATCAAAACCATCGCACGCAGAAATCCAGATTGATATACAAGATGCTAACTCAATATGCCTGACAAAGGTTTTCTGAGTGATGTAATATCCTAGGGAAAGCTGACAACGTGCCAAGGATCTACACCACACAGCGGTACACAGAATGAATACAAAAAAAAATCCAATTACTGGCAATACAAAGATACCCAAGCAGGGACCTAATACAATAAGAATCACCATGTAACAGAATTAAAAATGAGATTTTTGCAAGGTTGGATTCAGTTTATTAGGCTAAAGCACAACAAGGGAGATGTGCATATTTAAATGGAGGATTTCCTTAACACTGTGTATATCAAATAAAACCAAATATGTATAGAACTCTATGTCAGAACAGTTTGTATTTTTACCTTCTGATTTTTGTTTCAGCTAAGCTTTTCATTAATTAATGCTTAAGCTTCCACAAAATGCTGCATCCGAAATCTGTTTCAGATTTCAAATATGTTTAAAATTGTTGCTTTTGCATAGCTTTCTAAACAATTAACAATGTACAGACACAGGAGTCACTGAATTGTCAAATACTAGTTTGTAAACATTTAAGTGTTGTATAGACCCACTGATACATTTCCACCTTAAACCAACAAACCGAAGTGAGACAAATTACAAAATTAATCTTCCTGCACAGGGTAAATCCTGATTTCTAACCGTCTCTGCAAATCAAGAAATGTGTATTCTAGTATAAAGTTTAAATAATGAGTTTAATAAGCTTACATTAAGAAATCTCAGCTAGAATGAAAACCAGAAGAGACAGGATTATTCCAGGTCCAGGACTGAAAAACACTGTAATGAGGGATATCAGAGTAGAGTCAGAGTAGAGACAATTGCATGCTCTCCCCCTAGACAGGATACTTGTCCATCATGGGGCTACAGAGAAAACCATGCAAATTGCACCAGTGTGTCTGTGAGAAATGGAAGGAATGTGGAACACCTGGAGAAAACTCCTGTGAACACAGAGAAAATGCACAGTCTGCAGAGACAAATACCAAGGGCCAAAAATTAACCTGGAACCTTGGACCTAAGAGGCAGCAGTGCTAATCGCCAAATCACAGCGTTGCCCATTGACACTTCCTCAACCTATTTTTTTTATCCAGATAAGAGCATACTCTAGAATTTACAGGATTTTACATGGACAGTATTAATAGATATTTTTGTAATGGGATAAGTAGATGAAAATTACTTGAAGAATGTGCAGTTAAAAGTAATGCCATATTAACAAACGAAGAGCCCGCAGCTCAGAAATAATTACAGTATTCCACTTAAAGTATAATAACTCCTTCCGTCTGTGGTTCAAGTGTATTAATCAGGACAGAGGATTAAAAGTGTCAGCCTGAGTATTACGCTAGTTTCTGGATGAGGAAGCCACGGCGATGAGTTTAATCAGCAGAAACAGCAAAGGCAGAGTGATTGATATTCTTGTACAAGACACTACTCACAAGCTATCTAATGCTGCTTTTATTTCCTGCAGACTGTGGCATACCTGTATCTTTGTTTTGGAGTCTGTCGTTCTGTGGACTTGTACAGATGTCCTGTATAATATAAGGGGAAAAATAAAAAATTCCAATTCGTTGCAAACCAAGTCAGGGTGAAAGGTGCATCAAATTGCTGGAAGGTGAGTTTGGCCAGTTGCGTGGAGCCAGTCCAAGAGGAACAGACACACAGCACCATGGCGACGCCCCACAGTGCCTTGCGGGCCTGGGCAGCCGAGATCTGAAGACAGCAGCGCAGCAGACAGTGACCCCCCGTCTCCCCCGCCAGGGGGGGCTGGACATCCACAGGGGCGGCATTCTCACGGGGTCTCTCCTCTCCTGCAAGACACACCAAACATCAGGATGAACCTCACTGATGTACCATGTTCAAGCTGCACCTTATATTTGACAATCTATTCTCCCAGGAGTCCTCTTGCCTGCGCACCAGAAACCTTCTTGCCACGTATGCCCTATTTACCAAACCTGACCCACTTTAAACATATGCGGGGTGAGTTTGAACAACATGAGGCATCTAGGGGACAGAGACCAGTGAACATGCTTGTCCAGGTTCAACAGGAAGAATGGGACAGATCTGCATCGCAAAGGTATAACATTGTTTGCCTATAACTTTCACATTAGACCCCCTGTCCTAGACTACTAATTCAAAATCCCATTTGCATCTTGGTAATCAAAAGGTGGTGAAAACTATCTGACACTAAATTATGTTGGCTTAATGAATCCATTTACACTGTCTTCCACACCTATGGTTTTCTCTCTGCAGAAATTAAATGCTCTACAAATCTACAAGTACTTCACTGTTGATATCCAGGCCTCTCAAAATGTGTTGATTTAATATTACTGTCTAGAGCCTTACAGACTACAATAAGAAATACCATTAGCTGCTGCAATTCTTATTGTCATTTCTCTCACCTCTCTAGATCACAAGCTGTTATTAAAAACTTGCCTAGTAAATGATTTTCCCATTATCAAACACCTGCTGCAGCAAACCAGAAAATGTTCTTATTGCCCTGCCTATTTATTTCTGTGCCTAGTTTCTCATCAGATCTGTTTTCTATCTCAGTGTTAAGGGTAGACAACGACTTTTTAAAGATCATTGTGCTACTTTGTTTTCTTCTTCTATTAACAAAGCTGTGGAATAAGGTACTGCAAAACTAAAATGCATATTATGACCACATGATGGACAACAGGCCCTGAAGATCACAGTTAGATCTTTATTGCTCTGTTGGTAATTTCTTTCAGTACCTGAAACCAGTAGCTCAAACAAAGATGGATATGCCATAAAGAAAATAGATTATTAAGCCAATGATTCAAGAAGTAGATCATTCTAAATTAAATTCTTGTGTCGACTGGGTACCCAGATTCTTGGCTGGCTGCCTACGGGTTTAGGATTGCAGTGCTTTCAAATCTCTGAGGGTTCTACATCATTCAAACACTTCAACACACTGTTTTAATTCAGGAGGTTCCCTATTTCTGTTCTTTATACTGTGTATCGCTGTAACATTCAATATTATTTGCAATCAACACAATGAAATAAACGATCAAAGAAAATACCCACATTACATTTACAAGCTATTCAAACAGCCACATTAAAATCCAAACAACAAATGAAAAATATTACATTTAGCATTTTATTGTTCTTCTTTTGCTCAGGGCATTAGGATAAGGTCTGGTCATGAGCACTGACGAACTACTGTGTCTGCAGTAAATCATTCCTGAGTGACCAGGAAACTCCCACTCATTTACCAGAACCTCTGTTCTTCAACCACATTAACACTTCAAATGCTAAAGACTGCTGACACAGGAAGAGGTTTTAAATATCAGTTCATGTTATCCCTGAAAACAGAAAGCCACAGTGAGATCTCAGGTTCTTTTTAGTTTACATAAACTATGGATATATTTTATTTGTGTTCATGTTAAGTGACATTTGTTATGGTATTGTGAACTGTAATTTCCGTAACCCACATATTCATGCCATGTACATTTCCAAAGAGAAGATTACATACAAATAAGCATACTACCACCCTTGACATAGGCAGTCTGAAAAAAACACACAGTATTATTTGTGTTTTACTAAAAAAGAATAGTACTTTGTGCTGAACAACTTAAACATACATATGCAGACTCACATCAGTCTGTCTCTCAAAATGGGATTTAAGTTGTAATCAAGTATTAGAAATATTTGCAAAAGACATTTCTCATCCAGTGAAATATATATATTATTGTTCTGTGGTCTTTTTCCCCCCAGAAATTCGATTTTGCTAATATAGTACTAGAAATATTTTTTATTCCTGCATGCATTTAAATATTATTATTATTTATTATTATTATTTATTTACAATAAATTATTTATTATATAAATATGCATGTAAATATTATTCCTGTGTTTCATACTGATCTAGCTACTGTACTCAATTCCTCAACGTGTTTGCGTCCAACTCCCATTTCTGCATTGCAGATTACCTGCTGTGCTACTTGGCAAATCCTTCCACTATTACCTTCCACTTCACAGAACCTCATCTCCTCATTCTGATTCAAAGCACGCAATTGCTGTGTTTACACAGATTATGAAGATATTATGGTTTTCTATCCTGTTTTGTTCAAGGTGTATGTCAAAATGTTAGCTGGCTTCATGTAAGTTCAATTAGGTTGTGTTGTCATAGCTGACAGATTGTCGGGAGCTAGGGCAGAATTATATTAAACACAGAACGTCAATAATCAATTACTGCTAGTTGATACCCTCCACTGATTTTATTGCTCAAATTTTTTTTAATGTGCCTATTCATTTTATACCAATATATTCTATTATTGATCAATTTTAGAATGTATTTTTTGCTAACAAAAGTGTTTTTGCATATAGTAACAGAATTGGATTTTACACGACAGTCAGTATGACAGCTTAATACTTAATAATATAGGCAGTGGACTTGGGACTGTTACACTGTTACATAAATTCATTTAAATGTACATAAATAAAATAATAAATAATAACATATTTTTTATTCAGGCTGAAAATATACTTATGTGTAATGCACAGTAAAAACAAAAAATCAGTTTCATACATTTACATTTTGTGCAGTAGCATTTCCACAGAAACACTCAATTTTGCCTCCATACAAAAACAAAATAAAAATAGGTGACACAAAAAAATAATTTCAACATCGGGAAAAGGCTATGTTGTTTCACATCTTTTAAAGTGTAAAACATAGTCCTGACCAGACCATTTCCGTGTCACATGACATGAAAAGCACTACAGTTGGACGTCCACTTATCAGACCTTTCAATGGCTTCATGATTACCACAGGGAAGGAAGGCAATAGATGCAATAGATCTCTGTTGTCAGTTGGTTGTGATTTACTTCTTGATTTAGGAATGATCACAGTAACATTTTGGATCATCTTCCCCTTCTGGAGCAGCACTTCACCCAGGATCTGTGCGGATTCAGTTGAATCCATTGTCTTTTGGAGGAGGTCGAAGTCTCTGCTCTAGTCAGTGATGGTAAGTTTCCTCCTTACAGTTCTTGAGTGAGCAACACAGACATTGTCTTCTGTTTCCCAGATAGACTGGCGTGGTTTCAATAGATTCTGTGGTAGGCTGGCTAACTCTTTGTGGATAGGAAGGTTAGGTTTTTCCGTTATTTTGTCCATCTAATAGAATGCAGCACAGCCCCAGTGAATATCAGGAGGAATAATGAGGGCCAGGACTGGAATCCAATTGGTTCTAGTGGATTAAAGTGCCCTTGTCACAATCCACATGGCAGCATTGCTCTGTATGACTGCAGTCTTTGCACAAAAGCTGAAAGAGAAAGACACTGCAGAACACTGCTCTGCCTCATGATCTAACAACTATCACAAAACTGCAATTTTCAATTTCATATTGAACAAATGCTTTACCTGTCTTTGACATCTTTGATATGACAAGATGCCAATGAAAAGGTTGACCTAACACTGTTGTCCCACATGGCTCTCCGATACACTGGCTGTTCACAAAGCCGAGAGGAACATTCCAAGCTGAAGGTTCGCTAATTGTTATGCAAGGTTGTGGTATTATACCATCCTTAATGACCAATATCCCAGAGTTTTGAAAATGATTTGTGTTTATTTGATTAATTTTCAACTTATTTTCAAATGTAGGCCTTTCTTGTTATTATTCAAAGTTTGATATCACTTATTGGTTATGTAGAATTTTAACGCATTGATGTGTGATGTGTATAAAGGTTGTTATCACCCTAAAATTTCTCCCTAAAAGTGCTGATTAACTGCGAGTATTCTCAGAATGTCAGGCACTGGATTTTGGACTGTGAAAGTGTGGGATCTGTGATGCCACATAGGGTAAGAGTGTCAATCAAAGACATGTAAACAATTGGAGTGAGCAGATGAGTCTGCAGGGGTGTCTGGCATAAAGAGAACATAAAAAATGGTAGGTTAAAATAGGCTGGAGGAAGTGGTAAAGTTATATGTGGTTTAAAGGATGTGTATTTACTAAACAGTTTTAGGTACCTTATTTCAAAGACCAATATCACATATTCACCACCAAAGTAAAGAAGCCTCTCAATGTATAAATAGCAATAACCCTTACAGGCCTTAGTCATTTAAAAAGCAAACTTGAGGTAAATATGTGCCTTGGCTCAATGGCCATTTTGCTATGTGCAACATTAGAAAATCATCAATTAAAATCGAAACTGGCAATGTAAACAATTACTCAATGCCTGCTATGTGTTATAGAGTAGACTAAATCTTCTGACAGCCACAACAATCCTGTCCGAGTCAGTGAAAAATAAGTTTAAAAACTGGCAAAGAAGACAGTTCTCTTTTCCAAAAATCAATTTAATCAATCTGCATAACTCCGGGTATGTTTAACTGCCCATGCGAATTTTCTAATGTAACCGTTTTTGTTTTGATAACTTGACACAAAACATATTCCGTTTGAAATGAGATACCTTCCACATTTAGATCGCAAACTGCTCTGAATGATGAAATCTATCAATCAGTAATGTAATAAGAGAGTTAAAGTCCCGAAGAAACCGTGATGGGAAACAATGAAAGAGCTGGCAAGGATTATGCAGGCATCTTCCTTACCTTCTGACTCAAAATGACAGAGCCCTTGAGGTCATTTCAACATGCTCACACAATGACTTATTATGAGAGACCCCTCCCCTAGCCACTTTCACATAAAGGGAGTACAGTTATTAAATAATGTGGCATTTGACAGCCTCATAATCGAGATGCAGTAACAATCTTCAAAGCAACAGAAAACTGCAAAGATGACACTAATTCTAACCCCAAGAGCTACACTCTACATTTAGAAAGAATGTTCTATTTTTGCTTTTTTTTTGCATTTTTACCAATTTTAATTTCACGAATCACATTTTTATCCATAATTTAAATACCATCATTTGCACACCAAACAGAATTGGAACTGTAAATGGAAGTGTCCTGTCTCACTGAAAAGCTCCAACAGGAAGTGGTTTAATGTATTTGGACCACCTCAGGCCATTCACCAGTATATTATTAGTCAAAGTGACCCCATCAGGGACATCTATTAAAGACCATTAAGAGGAAAATGACTGACATTAGAGTCACAACTGCTAGTCATGGATGAGAAGAAAATACTCTGGAGCGTGTTTTTAAACTGCTGTGGAAATGGGGCTGACCCACTGTCTTGATGACTTGAGTTCCACATGTGTAAATAGCAGTGTTCACAGTGTTGAAGCATGTATGGTTTGTAACTGTTTTATAACCCTTAGATACAGTGAAGCAGGGAAGCTCCTGAAATAAGATCATTGCTTTGGGCATATAATGAGTGTTTAAAGAGGTTTAAAGACTAAACTCAAAATAGCAAATCAGATTCAAAATAAAATTTAATGAAACTAGCTTTTAAGCACTCAATACATGCAGGTCAACCTTAGCAGTCTGACTGGACACAATACACAGAGTAGGTCATTTATCATAAGGACACAACATACATACATGCAATTTCTGTATGTCTATAGAAACACTACAAAATCCTGCAAAATGGTGTAGAAAATCCTAAAATAATTCTAAAGGAAGATCTCGTAGGATTAATTGTAATAGGACAAGGATAGAATAATTGTGGGAATCCATTAGGATTGTGATCTCCAAATCCCACAAAGCTTCTATATATGAACTGCATGTACAGCAGAGAAGTTGCAGGAATCATGCAGCTGTTTCACAAGAGGGCCAAAGAAGCTAAGGAAAACACATTAGAGAGCACATTATCATTCTAATATCTCAGATATCCTCAGCTCTGAATATTAAAATATCAATTTCTTCAAGACATCTAAGGACACAAAGGCGTGTGGGAAGTACAATGTTGAGTTCAATGTGCATTTCCTTGCAAATAACAAGCTGGTAAAATGATTAGTATACATTATGTGTAGAATCCTAACACCAAACCCATTGCTAAATAAATGCTTTAATAACACATAAGTTGTTGCAAGTGATTGTTTAAGACAACACTACATATTGAAGAGTATTTAAGAGCATTTTTTGAGAGTTAATGGTGAAACAAATTAAATGTAAAATTAGGCTTAGTGGCAATTGAGCCAGTAATAATTTTGTCTACTAAATTGTCTGCTAACATGCTCTGAATGATGTAGCACAAATGTAAATAGCTTGTTTCCCTTAGGCAGAAATATATTTTAAATATCCATAACAATTCTACCCACTCTTTCCACAAATAAAAACAAAGACAGATGGATGAAATCAAATATTTTATAACAGATGTATCCGCTACACTTGATTCACTACACCTGCAATATAGTAAACTTTGTGAAAAATGAGCTTTATTTTCTCCACTCCTGGAAGACAGTGACAGTAGGAATTCTTAAAAGACTTTATTCCACATTAAATCAAAGTGTGGCTATTCAAACTGTTCTTAAACACCCTGAAAATAACAGGACCAGTGTGGCTGTCCTGATAGACAGGAAAATAATAAAGGAGCTTAAATGAGATTCCCAGCAACAAATTTGTCAGCACAATTATGTCCATATCATCCACCCCTTTTCTAAAAGCTTATTCAATTTCAGGATCGAGGGAGAGCCAGAGCCTATCCCAGCAAGCACAAGGCAGGATACACCCTGGAGGGGACACCATTTCATCACAGGGCAGATAGACACAAATACAAACATGCATACACACACTGGGGCCAATTTTCCCAGAAGCCAAATTAACCCAAGGTTATGTCCTTAGAACGTGGGAAGAAACCAGAACACCTGGAGGAAACCCATGTGAACACAAGGAGAACATACAAACCACACAGATAGTACTCCAGGTCCAGAATTGAACCCAGACCCAGCAATGCTACCCACTGCACCACTGTGCCATCTACAGTATGGCCATATCCATCCCTTTCCTAACCTCTTCTTCCAATTCAGGGTCATGGGGGAGGGTCATCTCGGAAAGCAACAGACGCGAGGCAGGATACACCCTGGATGGAATGCCAGTCCATCACAGGGGAGGTACACAGTTACAAACACACACACTCACACCTAAGGCCAAATTTCCCAGAAGCCATTTAACCTACCAGTATGTTTTTGGACTGAGGGAGGAAACAAAGGGAAACCCATGCGAATATACAAACTCCAGATGGAGAACTGAACACATTTGAACCCAGAATTGAAAATGTTTAAACATAGAAATGTTTGTGGTGACTTGGAAAATATTTTTCCCCTCAAATCACGGGGGAGGGGTGGCTGCACTGTGCTTAATTCAATACATATTTTCCTCGCATAGAAACCAATTTCTAAAACTTCTATGGACACTATGCCAACACCTCACTACGTGTTCAGTCGTTTAAATATAGAAGACATTCTCCGTGCAGTAAGGAAAATAAATACTGCAAGTTGAAACACTGCATTGCACTCTCGGCGGTTCTGCTCTCCCCACGGTACAGCACAAACACTGTGTTACATGGTGTCTCCGTGGTGCTCGCAAGATCCCACATTCATAATAAGCGCATCTCCTGGAATCTCCAAAGCTACATCGCCTGTCCTTAACGTGACCGTCATGCTTAAAGACAGACACGGTATCTCCCCAGCGGAGTCTCCCTTCTCTACGCGCGCTATATTGCTGCGATAAAAGTTGCTCTGTACTTGTGACAGTCCGCAAAGCACAACACCAGACATTTTACATAATTGCCCTTAGGAAAATACGCTATTGATCACCCCCATTTGGGGCATTTTAAAGTAACCCTATATGGCTTGTATACGTAAAAGGGAGGCTCACATAGAAACAGTGATAATAACACAAGCAGCAATTAAGCAATTCGACATGACACCAATACACTGGCCCCTGACAGTGCAACGCATCCTACGGACTGTACTCAGACCCTCTTCTGTCACTTAGCGGATAGACGTTAATCTCGACTACAGCATGCTCACTGTTCACATCCCAAACCCAAGCGCTTACCTTCTACTTTGGTTAAGGTGAGCACCGGGCTGTTACAAGCAGACAGCGGGGCTACCCTAGCGGAGTGTTTCTTCATTCTGATGAGCTCGGTAAAGCAGAGCTCTTCCCTGTCGACTACATCCCTGAAACCAGTGTCGCAGCAGAGTCTGTATTAAGCTTATCCCCGTTTTCTCTCCTTCTCCCTCTCCGTTTTTTTCCCCTGCCTGCAGTACCCCTCGGAATGCTGATCTGTCACACTCCCATCACCAACTGCTGCAATTCGAGCACGTCACGAACACTCCACTGTCCACACCCCCTCTCTACCTCCCCATCACCCAGCCCAGGCAAACCCAGTGAAACCAACACCACCTTGAGATTCAGTGGAGGAGAGCAGAAGATACTGCAGTAGCTGCTGTGTCATATTTTACGGGACTCCTTCAAACATCGTGCTGAAGTCAGAGCAAGAATACACTGTTGCAGAAAGCCGTGGAAGTATGCAGTAAACAAAAACACTGACGTCTATATTTTATTTATGAGTATTTAGTTTATCTCATTCTAACAAAACAAACAGTAACTAATCACAATAAACAAACCTATAAATTACAGCCCAATTATTATAGCTCTGTTATGATCTATATCATGAACGCATGATGCATTAATTTTATTATTATTGTAGAGGTTTTAATTCAAGGCGGCCTGCCATAAGTAAGATGCGTAGCATATACACTTTGAAATTAAGAATCGTTTTCGTTAACGACTGCCGCACACAGTAACAATGCAGGATGTTTTATAGGGAGCGAAGACAATTAACTAAATACCCCTTCATAAAGCAGATGTCGACATTCCGTTTTTCTTTTCCGATAGTTTAATCTTTTTAGAACTCTGAAAGTTATTGTATTGCTAACATTTCCAAAAGAGTAGCATATCTGGGAGCATCTTGGCCACTGTAACAGGTAGCTAAGGTACTAGTCTTACACACTATGTACTGTAGAACCAACATTCTGCATTGACCCAGAATAGAGATTTCATGATTCAGGAAGCTAAGAAGCTTTCTTTTTTCTTATGAGTTTAATGTTATATTTCCATCATTTCAAAAACGTCCTCTCACAACACTGAGCAAATTTACTGTAGTAAGTATCCAGTACTGCTTGTATGATGACACTACAGCAGGATGTGTAGTTAAAAGACTGTGATGGTACTATTGTGGGGGGTAGCTATGCGTGGCTATGACAATAAATTATTGAAAGCAAGTGCTTTGTGGTTAAAGCCCTAGTTCCCAAGGACTCTGTTAAATACATATTTTAGTCACTGAGTTCTCTGTACTGGTTCTAAGCGCTTTTACCTACAAATCTCTTCAACAAGGATTTTACTGTAAGTCACCCCGCATTAAGCCCATGGACTAATCAAATAATAATAATAATTAGAACATCACATGAGTTTCTTTCACTTAGAGGTATACCAGAGCAGATGTGATTTATAACCTCCTGTGAATAGCAGAGAAGGAGGGGGTCTGTGTGGCTGCAGTGTGAGTCATGCACATTTACAAAGGGGAATCGTTATGCCGGTACAGATATATGTACTCACATTTGACTGTCATTTTAATTGCTACTCTGCTTTTCATCTCCGTTAAAAGACAAAAAACATCTGCTGATGCCGCCAAAAACTGATATCTTGGAATTCTCTTTTTTTTTCCATGTATTTTCTTTACTTAATGTTTCTTTTTCCACAAAAGCCTAGCAAAAGATTTTGGACATATTTACGATTTCTTGCGGACAAGGTCGAGAATATTCTGGAACTGTAAAAGAAGAAAATGCAGTTTAATGGATAAAATGGACCCTTTGAAGTATTTGTTCTCAGAACTATTAAAGAACTAAAATAGGATATTTAACCAGATGAGTGATGAGCTGATGTTTTATTTTAATTTCACAAACTGAAAGATTCTAAAGGAACTGCAGACCCTGCGGTGATTCTGTGCAGAACTGCATGCAGGCATTCTGGTTTAATTTCATGAGTCGACCAATACAGCAATGTCTCTTCACATTAACAAAGCCTAAACGAAATGAAAGAGATCTCTGTGACCTTGAACAATCAAATAACAGGAAAAATCCTATGGACCATATGTTACTTCTACCTATTGAATGTAAAAACAAAACAAAACTGGGAGAAATAGCTTGAAATTGGGCCATGTTTGTGGATTTGTAAACGTTAATACAGATTTAATACAAATCTTAATATAAATCTAACACAGACAGGTGTGCATGCTATTTGACTCTGTGGCAGTGAAAGAATACATGAAGAGGACGAATAGCTAAGGCAGAAAATTCTCTGTTTCCCATGGTGGCATTTTAATCATGATAAACATGGTTGTATTTCATGTATCCATGAAGTAATGGAAATAATAAAATCTAAACTTACTGTTTCTTGTTTATTTCCACATTACCAAGCTACTTTGGTTGACTTGATTATTAAGTTTATTAAGAGATTAATAAACATCTTAAAGGTTTTTAAAAGAGCTGATTCACAATGTTATTTTTTAAATACAGCTCACAGGAGATTTTGAGGTTAAAAGCTTATCACACAGCTGATATATTCTGGTTATCAACACTAATTTTCTTGTCCTGTCAATAAGCAGGAAACTCAAATAGACTGTCCAGGGGGGTATTTTATCTTGACCAGCCATAGAGGCCAATTTCAGACTCTAATTCTTGTTAATAGTCACAGTGAGGATTCATTTGTTAATTACTAAGTGGTTGAAGGATACACATTCAAACATGGGTGAAACATTGGTATAAAAAGGGTGTGCATGGTATTAGTGGTGTTGGGTGTTTTCTTGAGGTTTTGTTTTCCAACATAGAGTAGAGTTTGTTACACTATGAACTCTTCTCTGTACAGCGGTTGTGAGTCTTAATTTGCTTAGGCCCTGTCAGCCACCTTATTAAAGTCGTTCCAGTCACACAGGGCACACTGAAATAAGCAAAGCCGGGTGAGGAAGTGACCTTGTAAGAAGTCTCTGGGGCAAAGTTGTAGCAGGAAAATAATATGTGAAAGGAGTGTTTCAGCATGACTGCTTTCTATCCCAAAAGTGTTGTATAAGCAAAAGAGGTAAAGTGGAAAAGATAGATGACTGGGCTGACGTTCATGAAGAAAACTATGAACATGCACAATGGCTCTCCAGGGGCAGAAATGCAATTTTGAAATTTGACTTATATAAAAGATGTATTAATTAATTGACTTTGCAAGTGATCGGCCAATTACGTTTTGATTTTACAATCTGTGTTGCCCTTTTAATTCCCGACTTACCGCTTTCATAAGAAAAAAAGAATAACCCAAAGTTATAATGAAAACCAATTAGAACATGATCACATTTTATGATTTATATTTCACTTATCTTAGGTTGTGAAAAATGGTTATTTGCCACAAAGGCCCCTCTTTGCTTATGGTATTATTTCTAGCAACTGTAGCCCTTCCCTTCTCTTTCTTGCTATTCTGTTTTGAGCATAAGATTAAAAGGAATATGAAAACCTTTGAACAGCTGTAACAAACTGTATTATAAAAGACCTTGAACAAAGATCTCCACATACTGCCAAGTGGAAATTAATTCAGTACTTCAAAACCAATTGCTTCATGCAGCTGAGCATACGTACTTCACAACCAATAATTATACAGATGCTCATACTAGCTTTGGGTTAGGGAGTGGCGATGGTACAACAGCAATGGCACTGCTGCTGTCCAGAGTGCTGATTCCCCTTGGGAACTGAATTCTGACAGAAGCCTGCTGAAATTATGTTTGGTCATTGTGTTAATTAATGGGTTGATGTTGATAGTGTGTTGTTTATTTCAATACATTTGAACTGCTTCAGCAAAATTAAAATGGAAGAAAAAAGCTCTGGTTCAGTTAAATAAAATCACTGATCAGAAATGGAGGTTACATTATTATTATTATTATTATTCCTCTTTCTTACTTAAAAGCAAGGGGTGACAATCGTGCTTATTGCATTTCATTCAAGTTCATTACATACTCCGATTGAAAAACAATAGCTGCTACCTGTCATTAATTCATGATGATTATGACTTGGTGGTGAGCTTTATCTTCATAACTCTTACCCTGATGTCAAAGCCAACAGATGACAGGTGTGAATTAAAACATGACATAAGGTGCTTTTAGAATTACTTTCATACATTATAATGTCTTGCTATTTCTTTCCCTATGGATTTTCATTCTCTCTTTAAAGAGATTGATTTCATTCTTAGTTCACCTTTAAGTGCCAAATAATTGTTTCGTTCAGTTCACTGTTAACACGACCATTTATGTAGTTTTCGTTTGCACATGTGAACGTATTGCTCAGTATTGCCATACCAAGCTAAACTGAAAAAGAGGGTTTGGAAAAAACTGCTTTATAAATCTGAGGCACCAGTGTGGAGTAGTGGTTAAAGATATTGACTTGTGCCCTGGCAACGCATTAAGATTGGTTCCGTAAAAATGCCCAGCTGTATAAATGAGTACAAATCTAAGTGACTCCGGATAAAGTTTCATTCAAATAAATGAATAAATAATGAATCTGGTATTTAAACTCCAGGGGCAATGTAAGATAAATGGCTTACAAAAAATAAGGTGGAATTATAAACATACTGTATCATCCATGAAATCATATATATGATTCAATGGGATTGAATGTACTGCAATCAAACATTCTTTTTGCATGAAAACTGGTGATAGAAGAAATAATTCGAGGAACATGGCATGTTATGGATTGCTTGAATTGCACATACTAAGCACTGACTCAGTTAAGTTATAGGAATGCATTTCCGTCCTTTTCATAGTGATGCCACTATTATAGAATGACAAATGCTATCAGCTGTTGGGCGCGCTTCATGTTGGATTGTCCCAACAAGCTGCACACTGTTTCAACTCAACTAATTGACTGTGCAGTAGAGGTTGCTTAAAACTGCACTTCCCTGTAAAAGCCCTCTTTTGCTTTCCCCCATCCTCTACCACCTGGTGCCTGTACATCATAATCTTGACTAAACAGTAAAATGAACAGCATGTGGCAATGTGTGTGATGTTTAATTAAAGAGTGCTAAAACAGGTTAGTAAATGTTTAGATCCTTAATACTGACCTTTCAATGCTTGTCAGATCAACATGCTTTGACAAGAAGCCTCTTGCTGTGACTGAACTTGAATTCTCATAGTTCACCTTCTGTTCCAGGCTTGCAAATAAATGGTGTAGGTGGTGGCATTTATGAGCTCAAAAGGCTAGAAATTTAGTGGGGACT